ATTTTCCTGTTTTGTTTGGGTGTTTAACCTAAAGTATTAACAGCCTTTGAACTTTCTTCTTATTTTGTCACAATAGATTGGGATACATTGGGAAAGTAGACCGAAATTGAAAACATACCCTTTTCTTTTACAAATAAAAACTGAAAATGTGGGTGTTTAGACAAAGTCCCTTTAGTCAGACATCCTAAATTTGAAATGACACTGGACAGCACTGTGACCACAACATTCCCCACTGTGAAACATGGTGATGGCATCATCATGCTGTGTGGATGTATGGGAAGTTGGCTAAAGTTGATGACAAAAATGATGGGAGCAAATTATGCGGGAATCCTGCAAGAAAGCCAGTTAGAGGCTGGAGAGCGCTGAAGAGCGGGGCGGAGGCTCGCTACCCAACAACAACAATCAGACGGTTTATGTTAAACCATAATAATTTAATAAATTTTATATAATTTGCTTGAGCTGGAGCTGTTGTTGAAAACAAAGTGAAAAGCAAGTAAAGACGTTTAGCTTTAGCATCGGCTTGGGGGATGAACACAAATGCACAGCACACTTTTCAGATATTTACTCCATTTCTTTTCAAACTATGCACCTTTTCACCCTCAGACTGTTCAATCATGGTGCAGCTCACCTCTCACCTAGTGACCACTGGAGGTAAACACATGACCCTCCACCCACTGTGACTCAATATACATGTGTGGTTAGAAAAAGTGGTTGCGGTGATGTTTTCTTTCACTTCAACATTAGGTTCACACATCCTGTAAGTTTATCACATAAAATCCTTATCCGAACATGTGCTTTTGACAAAATGCACAGAGGCTTTAATAATATGAATGCTGCAAAACAGTCTTTAAAAACAGTATAATTTTTATCCTTTGCATAAACACATTATTGTGTAAATATATGAAGGAAAAAGAATAAACCTGCTTTAACAGGAAAGTAATTTTTTTTTTTTTTTACATCTTTGGAAAGTAAACAGGACCTGTTCAGAGAACTTTGGAGTTTCTTAAATGACCAAATCAGGCCCTCTATTTCCTTTCAAAGATACAAACAGCCTCAGCTGATGATTTCCAGGGCTGCTGACAGCAGATTTGACCTTTATGATGTAAACATTAGAGTAGGATGAGTTGAAAACCGCAAATACTTTTCCTTCAATTTTACAAATCAGGAATCCAGCTGAAGTATATTTCAGTTTGTGGTTCTAAGGTTATAAAATGTACAAAAGCTCAAGCAGTATTACATCTTTTGCAATGTGCTAGTGTGCTGCCATAAGTAGAGACTAAGACCGAACAGAAAATGAGTGCATGAGCTTTAATAAATGTTGATTATGAAAATTACAAGACTGTCAGGCTGATATGGTCATTTAACTTTTGCTCTTTTCTTTAAGCACCTGTTGCATTTCCTACACTTTCTCCCTAAATAGTAATGTGTTTACCTGCATTCATAAACATGCACATATATTAATGCAACCATAAGACAAATAAAGACTGTCTCAAGAACAAACACCCCCCCAGCTCAATGCATGAATGCACTCTATCCCTGCCTGTCATTCATTTGCATATTTGTAAAGAACTTATGACAGATTTCTGCATGAAAGCACTGTGGAGTATGCATGCACAAACACCCCAACACATGCACCTTGACCTCTCACATGCATTGCAAATACACATCAGTCCAGTCGTCGCTCTGCATGCACACATCAAGTTTTAACCTCCTTCGAAAACAGACACAACATTCAATCGCCACACGAAGGTGCACACTCCCAGCCGCTATCACTCTGGCGGTGTGATACAAATCCATATCCTGACTCTGCTGCACTCACTTCCATTCATTTCAAATTCATTGGTATAGCCTAACGCACACATGCACACACAGCCTTGCTACTCACTCAAACACACACGAGAACAGGGCCAGGAAATGCAGAAAACAGATCTTGGGCATCTCCTTTCAGTGAGGCTAGGCAAGACTTTTCCATTAGACAATGATGTCATTTTTCCATAAAGTTTAACCCCCTTAAAATCCCATATGTTCAAGCTTTTCTTTTGTTGGCATGAAGAGCAATGTTCTCCCACTGGTCTGCAGACTCTGCAGCACTCTGATCCTCCACCATCATCCTCTAGAGCTCATGTAAATGCATGAAAAACAGCTAGGTGTGACGGCGCATACATTTCACACAGTCAGTCCCTGTTCTACACCCTGAACCTACCTAAATACAACCTGAACCATTTTATTCCTAACTGTATCCTCTGTGGTTCCCATAGTGCTGGACAGTGGACACCAGGAGGTCACAGCTGGGCAGCATGAGGTCAATCACTTTGAACAGGGCACCATCTAGTGTTGCCTGCAGAGTATGGGACAGAGGCTGACATGTTTCCTTTTTCCCTTTAAGATGAAGGGCAATCATGTTAGATGTAAACTAACAAACTTTATTACAAAAAGCATTTCATCAGCCTGATAACCTAAATAAAACGCAGAGGTTAGAAGATTGCTGGTAACTGTGACTGTTCGCTAGCAGAATGCCTGCAATAAACCAAATCAATCCTTGCTTTTAAGGGAATATAAACTCACCGTATAAAAAAAAACAAAGTGTTAGTTAAATATATATAATATTTGGATTGAGAATATTGCCTTTATTTAGATCCAGAGTACTTAAGGACTTCTTTAGGAATTGTATTTTATTTAGAAACTTTTCTTCATTAAAATCATTGAAGTTTAATGATAAAACCCAACTTCTCCCACAACTTTACAAAACAAACCAAAAAACAATTCAACAGAATCCTAAACAGCTCCTGAGTCAGGTACGTACTTTATAATTGATTGTAGTAAAAAAAATGTGTTTAATGTAAATGTATTATATTAGAACCAGTAAAAAAGTCTTCTAAGGACGTCTTCTAAGAATTAAAGTAGCAGCATTAGGCTTTTTTATTTTTAATTTTTCCAAGAGATTTCAGTTTATTGATAATAATAATAATAGTTAATAATGTTCTTTACTGTATATGTTTCCAAATGATAAAATAATCAGACAGGATGGGTTCCTTCCTCTGTTATGCTGATGATACTCAGCTAGGGATGCACGATATAATCGGCCCCCTATCGGTATCGGCCTTAAAACTGAATATATCAGCCACCACACTGATATTTAACCCGATATTTGATCAGCTTCTGGGTTTCTAAAGAAAGAAATGCTACTTCTTCTTTTTCCTCAAAAACTTATTTTTTACAGACTTAAAAACTTCTGAAGACGAGGGAAAAAATATTGCTAAATTAAAATATCACAATATCTTCATATGCTGATATATTGCCATTTAAAAACACCATATCAATCTCTTTTACTAATGAAATATTGCTATATGTCATCGTTATGCTACGAAATCCCCTGAAAATTCACGAAATTTTTATATGTTGATATATTGACGCGGTATCGATCTATTTTACTAACAAAATCTCACAAGAATTTGCAAAATATCACGATGAAATTTCATGAGATTTTGAAAGTAAAATAGATCAATACCGCGTTTTTAAAAATCTATTTGATATCAGCATATAAAAATATATTTGAGTATATTATTTTTCAAAGTGTCAGAAATGGATAACAAAACTGCTATTTTCAATGACTACTTATTTTTGTCCAGCTTTAACATCGGTATCGATATCGGCTACATTAGTTTTAAAATATCGGCATATCGGATATCGGCCAAAATCCCAATATCGTGCGTCCCTATACTCAGCTACATCTTTCCGTAAAACCTGATGAAACTAACCTGCTAGTTAGATTACAAGCATGTCAACAGACATAATAACCTGGACGACTTTAAATGTTCTGCTTTGTTTCAGACTAGACTGCCTAGTCAGTCACCAAACGGTCTATATATGAAAAGGTCAAAAATCTTGGTGTTATTTTATTCAGGATGCATCATCTGAATCTAATATTTAACAGGTTTATTTTCAGAATATTGCAAAAAATGTGAAATATCGTATCCAGGGTTGATGCTGAGAAACTTGGCCATAGATTTTTTTACTTTAGGCTGGACTATTGTAATTCTTCACTTTCAGGAAATCCACAAAATGTTAAATATTCTGATGAAAATTAAGAGATCATGTTTCTCCTATTTTAGATTCTCTTCATTGGCTTCCTGTTAGATCCAGAATATATTATAAATCCTCTTTCTCACACATAAAGCCTTAAATAACCAAGCTACATCTTACATCAGATTGTTCCTTAAGTTCCAAACAGAGCACTACCCTCTTAATCCCCAGGCGTACTAGTAGTTCTTATCATTTAGTCTTGCTTCTTTCCTAGACATAACTACAGGCTCAGCTTTTATTGTGACTATCTGCATGTGCTCTCTTTCATCCCTTTGACCTGAAAACAGGCTGAGTTCATCTGATTAACTGTTTATATCCTAAACAGAGCCAGTTTACCATCATCTTCTCTAACAGAAAGTATTTATAGATGAATTGTTGTCATATGGAAGTGACCTGTAGAGTATTTATGATGCGATTGATGATAAAACACCTTTTCACAGCAAACTGAGCCTCTCTGGCCAGAAGAGGCCTTGAGGCCTCCTGCAGGGGGCTGCAGAGTGGGTCTCTGCACAGGATGGGAAAACGGTGTTAATAATGCAAACTGTTTCTATGTGATTCAAGCACTTCAGTAAAACTTAGTTAACTATAACCTGAACTGTCAAACCTCATTACATTAACTCTCCAGAGGAGAAAAGGAACGTCGAGAAGTTTCTGTCCGCTCACTCAGGTAAGCAGGTTTCCTGTTTGCAGGGAAAGCTGAATCTCTTCAACCACACCGTCGTAGTAATTTTGTGACATTTTAATAACACAGAATCCTCCAGTAGAGGATGAACCATTACTACCTTCCAACATTTAATAATAAAATAAATGGCATACCTCTTCAAAGAGCTTTAAGGGTTTTAACAATGGAAATGTTTTTAAGACCCTAAAAGGACTCCAGCATGCGCTCGCTTGTCTTTTCCCACAAAAACACAACATTAAAACACAGCAAATGGTGTTTATTTTCAAAGTGTAGTAGGACAATGTTATATGTGCATGATTTCAATATTGTGAACTCTAGTTGTGCAACAAACTAAGCTACAGTATATACAGACACCTATCATTATCTGTTGATAGCCCCCCCTGCCCCGGATGACAGTCATACTGTATAACAGTAAATCTAGTTGGCCGGTTTTGCTTGGGTTTGACGATCCGTCAGGAGCCCAAGACTTTGGTTTCATCTGCGTCTTACTTTTACAGTGTAATATCAATCAATACAACTAAACACATCCATTTAAAAACATCCACATGAATATACTCAATGCAACAAATGTTATGCAGAAAAATCTTCTTTTCTCCGCCTCCCTCCCTCCACTGACTCTTTTATCTCCATAAAAATCTTACAAGTTTAAACGAACACTTAAATGTATACTTTGTTAAAAATTAAAGAAAAATAAAGTTATGAGAACCCCTCAGATATCTAGATAGCGATGATGCTTTGTGAAAAATATATGTATAGTATAGTGAACTAAACATTTACATGACTTTACAGGTGGGAAGGACATAACTCTTTAGAATTATAATAATAATCATAATAATACAGCCTCAGTCTTTATGAACATGCTCTGCTCTGCTCCTGCTCTGCACTCCCATCGCTGTCCTCGTGCCTCCATCAGTGTGTATAGGTGGGAATTAAAGTGTGCATGTTAGCAGGTCAGTCCAGGTCTCAATTTATTAGAATATTATCAAAAAGTTAATTTATTTAAACAATAAAAAAGAAACAACATAAACTGATTGATTCTACTGATTTAAATGCTTATGGTTTCTTTTTGGGGGGGTGATTTTCAATGATAATAGCTTACAGTTAATGAAATTACCTAAAAATTAATCCTTATAAGAATTTAACATATTAAAACAGAAATGGTATGACCTTCACAAGGACAAAAGACTGCTGACATCCTTGATAAGGAGGGTAAACCTCTGAAAAGGAAAGGTAGGAAAGTTTAGAGGAAGGAAAAAGTGTGATAGTAACGTACATCTGCAGCCATATTCAGTACAGGGGATTTTATTATTATTATTTTTTTAATCAAGCCACGCCCCTCTACTTGGATGATTTCTGTATTTCATGTAACTGAATTATTTCCAGAGCACTTTTTAGCTTCCTTCTGCTGACAAGCTTTATGTTTGCTATGTTTTTATTTTCCAGCAGGATGAGGCAAACCCCTCGCTTCTAAAGGCTGCTTGTAGGACTCTGCTGTTATTGTGCTTAGATGCAAGAAAACGGACCTGAACGCCACGCAGAATCCAGGGAATTAAACTAAGTTTTTCTTTTCTGAAGTTTTTCTTTCCACTTAACTTTCATTGAATAGGTTTGGATTCAACCAGCCTCCTTTACAAAGACCTCCTTCGTTTGGCCCACTGTGAAGGTAGAACCGTGATGGCAGCAGTTTCCCCCGATTGTTCAGGTTCTAAAATCACATTTCTGTTTAAAAATTTTTTTAATAAAAACATGAATTTGTGTTATTTTCTAAGAGCACATATTAGGCAAGACTTTTTTCCCCCCAAATGAACAAATAAAAATGTGAAAGTTTCAATTGTGTAATAAATCATAAAAAAAAGGGGACAAACTTTTCAGATTTATGACAGAAATAAATTAACTTCTGGATGATATTCTGATTAGTTGAGATGTGTCGGTGTGTGTGTGTGTGTGCGTGTGTCGGAGGGCTCAGCAGTCCCCAGAGTTGTGCGAGTGTGGCCCGGTCTCCAGTTTCCAGTCCCTCTGGTCCGTGGCGTCCCCCTGGCCGTGCTGGGAGGCGGCGGGCGACAGAGACATCTGTCTGCGAGGGTTGGCGCTGTGCATGGTGTTCCAGTGGCGCTTCAGGTCTGACGCCTTGATGAAGGCCTTGTCGCAGGAACCGCAGTTGAAGGGCCGCTCGCCCCGGTGCTGCCTCTCGTGGTCCTTAAGGTGGGACTTGTGCTTGAAGGCCTTTTCACACATCTGGCAGGCGAAGGGCCGCTCGTTGCTGTGGACCCTCTCGTGCCTCTTGAGGTCAGGGCCCCGGATGAAGGCCTTGCCGCACACCTGGCAGCGATGCGGCTTGAAGCCAGAGTGGATCTTGAGGTGCTCCTTGAGGTGGGCGGCGGTGGTGAAGGCTTTGGGGCAGTGCTCGCAGCCGTACGGGCGGTTGGCGGTGAGCAGACGCTCCTTCTTGGCGTTGTGGTCGAGGGTCTTGGTTCCGGTGCTCTGGCAGGAGTTGTGGTCGCGGTGGCCGTAGAGGAGGTATTCCAGCTTCATGTCAGTGCTGGACGTGGAGGAGCCCCAGCTGTGGGCGTGAGGGTCCTTGCCCATGCTTGTGTTGTAGTTGTGCGGTTGTGACACGTGCGAGCCGCCAGGCCCTATGGCGTCCATCCCCTGGTCGTAGAAACTGTTCTTCCTCACCTCCTCCATGGCGAGCTCCTTCAGGATGGCGTCCTGCGCCCTCATGCTGTGGTCATCCGGCGCCTGGTTCTCCCTGGTCTTCATGTTGGTCAGCTCCCTCTTCTGAGTGCACAGGTTATCTAGGAAGTTGATGCCGAGGATCTGCCCAGACGACATCATCATGTTGATGTCCTTCTTCCTCACCGCCAGCCGGGCTGTGTACATGTAGTTGAGCACCTCCTCGAAGATGTCGGAGCGGATAAAGTCCAGTTCCACGATGGAGTTGTCTTCGTCGCTCTGCTTTTTGAAGAGCTTCTTGAAGTAGTTGCTGCAGGCGGCGAGGACGCAGCGGTGAGCCCTGAACTCAATGTTCTCCACCACCACCACCACGTCGCAGTGTTCGCCCTCCATCCTCTGCTGGTTCAGCATCTTCAGGAAGGTGGCTTTGTGGTCGTAGTCGATGTATCTTAGCAAATCGGACATGGTGCCGGTCAAACAGGAGCAACCTGTGGAGGAGCAGCAACAAGATGGAGGAGAAAGAAAAGTTAGTCTAGTGCCAGGAAATGACTGCCTGCTACGCTACGATGAACAGCATAATGATGGGTAAAGGTTTTAAATAAAGCCGGAAAGTGTATTATCCAATTTTAAATTCATGAAAACATACAAATGACAGAAGGACAACAGCTCCACTATTTCAAGAAATGACAGAAACATAAAAACAATAACATATATTCAAGTATTGCAGCTCAAACAATGAAACATATGTTTGGTAGGGCTTCCTTTTGTACCAATTATTGCATCAATTCTGATCCGATCTATTTACCTGAGAAATAAAATGCTGCGTTTTCTTTAGCTATGAATCTAGAAAAGAAAATTACCTACATTTTTACAAAAAACTGTGCAATATTACTCTGCATTATGGATCTCTATACTAGTTTTTAACAGTTTATGATATCAAGGAAATAAACTAACTTGCTTATGATATCCTACAAAATTAATACCGTATGTACCAACTATCTTTAATGAGCAGAAACAAAAAAAAAGAAATGTCTCGTAAATCCAGAATTAGCACAGTAATCTATAATTGACTATAAAAAACAAAAAACATTCTTTTGCTAAAACTAAATTATTCGAAAATATTATTCAGCAATAACATTATTCTCTTTTAAACAGATTTTCTCCAGTTAAATAGTAGTTAAAAAATTTTAAATAATCCAATGATTCCCTGATTTTATCCTATAAACTGTGATGAATATCTAGTTTTAGGCTCATCAATATAGCAGATATGCATACGGTAGTTTTATTTTAACACATAGGCAGTTCTAAAATAAGCTTTTCTTCTATGATCATTATCATCCAATAATGATAATAATAAAACATCATAGGACAATCACTTGGCTTTAATCTGAAGTATCCTGATCTTCACTCTTTTAGTTTATATAATCAGTTTTATAATCTGTTTTTAAAATTTCTAGGCAGGAACATGAGAATAAATGATCCATACAAAATCTGAGGTTTTGATAAATTCAAAACAAACTTATCTTAACTTAAATCTACCTCAGTTACCCAGTTTATCAAAACCATATAGCTTTTTGGAATTACATCCATTTTTATAATCCATTCTTCAGTTACAGTTTAAAATATAAATTCTTGTTTCCATTTTCTCTGTTTATATTAAAAGAAAAAATATAAACATATATTTTTGCGATCTGCAAATAAATGTTTTACTAGATGCCTCATAAATGCCATTTGAACCCAACACTCAACCCTGCAGGACTCCATCTTTATTCAGAGCTGGTGTTTCAATGTTAACCTGTATTAACTGCTTTCTACCTTGAATTTCAATGTAATAAATTATTATCTTTATCATTTATTCCCACCTAGCGAGTTTGCACCAAGAAGAGGGTGTCAGTGGGCCTATGCCTAAGAAGGGAAGAACATATTTTCATCATATTTAAGTAGGAACTGATCATCCCATCATTCAGGGTGGCATGAATGGTTGCAGAATGTTGGAAGATATTTGTGAAAATATACTTTTTTCAATTTTATCAATATTTACTAAGGATTTCTAAAGTACTTGCACAACATCCTGCTGATGTCATCAACAGTAACATATGTTTAAGTATTTAAAAATCGCAGTTAAAGGGTACCCTTCACTATTTTAGATTACACAGAACAGAACAAAAGGGCAATACTGACGTATTCCAATCAAAAAGTTCTACAGATTGACCTATCAGTCCTTTTCTTGCTGATACCTATTTATACCAAAGCATGCAGTACCTTAAAGATTACTATATACCGCATTGCCTTAAATTAATCACCACATTTTCTACAGTTTCTAGCTTTAAATGATCAGCTTTAGCATCTGAGTTGCTAAAATATAAACTGCATAAGTGATTAAGAGCTGGGAACGGCATCAAAAAAAGACCTAAATCTAATTTGCTTGCAGAGGGCGAATCCCTGTCACTTGAACTACATTAACCTATAAACAGCATTTAACTAGTCTTTTGTGACTGCAATTTTTAAACAAAAATAACACTATTTATACAGCTGCTTTTATGTTCCTAACAGAGGCGTAGCCAGAAAATTTTTATATGGGTGGGCAGGCAATAACCAATGTAGACTGAGGGGTGGTGGGAAGGACATGGGCACCAGAGCCTCAGGGTCAATCTTCACTGTTCCAACAGGAAAATTAATGAGCAAAACATTCATATTTTCTAAATAAAGACCAACTATACTTTCCGAAAGCCTTTGCTAACAAATAGAGGCATATATTTAAACATCCATGCTTCCTAGATAAAAGGTATAGTGGATACAATTTTTTCAGGTGTAAGTTCAGGGGCGAACATCTTTTCAATTGTCATTACTTACCTACTCATTCTGTATAAAATTGATATTTAAGAGTACTAATATCTAGATAAAGCCATAAATTGGTTATCTAATACGTTTTTATTAAAATATATTTAACCAAAGACTCCTTGATTATTTGCATTAGAAAAACACCACAAAATCTAGTTCTGTAAAGAGCCTGAATTCTTTACTTATCTTTAATGTTAGTATATTGATGTGTTTAATTAACTATGGTTCAAGCGATTGTTAATATATGAAAAACGTTAATGTTTTGAATATTCCACTTGAGAGTATTACTGCTGCCACCATCTGTATTAGAAGGAAGAAAATAGTAGGGATGGCCAATGATTGGCTAATGGTGGCCATGGCCACCCCTGGCGCCCCATCTAGTTCCGCCCCTGGTCCCTAAGCTTTATACCAGCCTTAAAAACCTTAGAATCTGCCTTCTATCTGAGAGTTTATAAACCAAAAATAAAAAAAAGTTCTTAGATTTGATAACAGTAACTTTATGAAATTAGAATTTGTTCTTAGCTAGGACAAACAAAAAAAAAAAAAAAAAAAAAAAGAACTGCATCTTTCACACTAAATAATACATAAATAAAACAGAGTAAACAAAGTTAAACTCAGCTGGTTAGATCAGGCGTTTTCCCTCCCCTACGTCACTTCCGGTAATTTACTAGGTTCTGTTTTTTTGCTGCAGTTTGGCGAAGAAACCCGCCTCACAGCAGAAGATGTTACTTTTACGATAACATTTGAACATTGCCTACTGTCTGAGGGTGTGTGGCTTTAAAGAATATAATAAAATAAATTTGTTCTTTATGCCCATAACAGAGCAGGGCTGCATCCGACACAGACCAGGGGTGGAGCTCAGCTCTCATATTGTAATATAAGCGGACCTACCTTTAATGCAACACGTTATTAAAAACATTTTTATCTAAAAAATGAAGAAATAAGTCCCTATATCAACAATGCAGAACGTCTTTGAAATACAAAAGAAAAAACCGAAAAAAAAACCGTCAGGCCCTAAACCGAGTTAAGCCGTGGTGAAGGTAATGCAAATAAAAAGAAAATAACACAATTTATCACACGCACTGTTCTACTGGCAACTAATGCATTCCCAATGCGGTGTTTGCGTGACAAGCAACAGCGCGTGCAGAAAAGAATCAACCTCAGAATATTTCACATTTCACTGCGCCCAGCCATCTTGGTCAGCCAAGCAGCCTCGGTTCGTGTTTCTGCAGCCCGACAGGCTGCGCTCCTACAGCCGCGGCACCGAGCAGCGCGCGCCGCTGCCAACAGAACCGCGCTGCGGCTCGTGCGTTCCGCTCCGACGGAGAATAAAAAGTGTTAATACCCAAAGCCTGGACGATCCCTGTGTTGTCACGCAAGGTAATCGACGACGATCCAGATCCAGAGTTGTCGTTTTTCCTCTTCCTCCTCTTGTTGTGACTGCGCGTCTTGGCAGGAAATAAGGCATTTCTCTGCTGCCACCTACAGTCCTGGAGAGGGTACTCCACCATGTAGATCGTCTATATATCGACAGGTGAATCACTCCGACCGTATGAGAGGAAAACAATAATTTATAACACAAAAGTATTCACCGGTCTAATGTTTTTCACTTCAACATTTATCAGGTTACTACCCCAAAGTTAAATGTATATTTTACCACCAGTGTTTATGGTTAACTTGTAAACATCTAGAAAGACTAACACGACATTAACATCATTTTTCAAATCTTGCCATAGATTCTCAATTGAACTTTGGTCTGTGCCCCTTGTCATTTAATCAGACATGGGCGGATCTAGACAGGGGTCAACATGGGCCAATTCTCCTGAAGAACTGGATTTGGCCCACTTTCTGGCCACTATTCCAGAAACAAAATCCATCCGTCCATTTTCGAATACACTTAATCCCAAGTGAGGGATGCTGGTGCCTTTCTCCAGGGGTACACCCTGGACAGGTCGCCAGTCCATCGCAGGGCAACACAGAGACAAACAACCATTCAGGCACACACTCACACCTAAGGAGAATTTTAGAGAAGCCTATTAACCTAACAGTCATGTTTTTGGACTGTGGGAGGAAGCAAGAGTACCTGGAGAGAACCCACGCATGCTCAGGGAGAACATGCAAAATCCATGCAGAATCGAACCCAGAACCTTCTTTCTGCAAAGCAGCAGTGCTAGCCACCGCGCCACTGAGCAGCCCCAGAAACAAAATAATAAATCAATTTCTTATGCTGTGAGCTGACATAAGGTCCCTTGGACCAATTTAATATTTTATCGTTACTGTTTACTTTAATGGTTATACAGAGGAGCGCCACCTAAGCTTCAGATGTATGTAAGCTAGAATCACAGTCTTTTCACCTTCTAGATCAGGATTTCCCAAAGTGGGGGTCAGGAATCCTCCTCTGGTGGTCCTTAGGCACCAAGAGAGGGATCACAAGATAATTATCATAATCAATTAAAAATGATCCGTAAATATATCAATACTTATATGTTTACATTTCCAAATATAAAAAAATTATCTTAGATTTTAAGTATTGCATACATATCATATCTAAATCTTAGATCTACACCTAATAGATAAATAATCAGAGATATTTAACCAAAATCTTTAGAATATGCTTACCAATCACACACCTTAAACATTTTAACTTAGTGTTCAAACCCACAATGCTCAGGAAGATTCAGTGTCCATATAGGAGTGTTATCCATTAGTATGTATTCTAAAAAGAAAAACTAAGGGTCTGATATTCAAATATTCCTAAAAAGATTAGCAAAACTGCATGTGCATCTTTTTACAGTACGTGCAATGAGTAGGTGTGTTATGGGTGGTGCTGCACAAATGTTAAGCATGCAAACAGGTTTGATTCCACCCATTAAAATGAGCAGATTGGGTGTTTTACTGGCAGTTTGAGAGTGGCTGTAAAAGAAAGATGAGGTTCACAGCCATGACAATGTTGGTAATACTGATAAACGAAACAATTGTACAAAATATTATTTAGAATACATCTTGTAACCCATCTTAAAGTGCGACAAGCAAAAGTAAAATAAATAAAACAATAGTGTTTTATGCATAATTGTGTTAATAAATCAAGGGAGAGAAAATGTTCAGTCATTTCTTTCATTTGGTTTAATTCTATAAAGATTATCTACTGTCTTGCTGCAATAATTTGAGCTGGCCTGTAGAGGCAATTTTCTTCATATTAGTTAACTGCTATTGTTTCTGACATTGAAATAGGTTTCCTTGTACACAAAATGCCTTTCGATCCTCTGGCATTGCACCAATTCCTCCTTGGTGGCAACAATGACCACAGGTGTTTTTTTGCTTGTCAGTTTGCACCTGATTATAAGTTGTGCTAAAAAAAGATGCACAAATTCAGATTAGGAAAATGACTTCACAAGTGGTAAATGTTACAATTTGCATATTACCCACCTATGAATTTGGTGGTTGGCTTCTGTATCTCAAGCACTGCACAAGATGTCGGATTATTCTTCAGGTATCTGTTGGAGCCCCTTCTCCAGTGTGGAGGTCACTGCCCCCAGTGCTCCAATGACCAAAGGTACTACAGTGGCCTTCATCTTTCAGTCTCTTTCTAGTTCATCCATGAGCCCTTAGTATTTCTGTTTTCTTCCAGATGTTTCCATCATCTTGGATGGCCACATCAATCACTACCAATGATCACAGGTCTAGTTGTTTAGCCTCAACCATTAAGTCTGTATCTGAAAGTCCAACAGGATCTTAGCTCTGTCATTCTACACCATCTTGGGGTCTCAAGTTTGTATTCTGCACAGATGTTTCTGAACACTATACAAGCCTCTTGGTTATGATGGTTCATGTCTCCAATAACTGCCAGTATCTTACACCCTGCTATGAGATGCTGGATTGCCTCTGGGGCCTCTTTGCACAGCCTGCACCCAAGATCTTGCCTGTTGTGGTAGAACTGGGCCTCTATTGCTCTGGTGCTCAAGGCCTGCTCCTGTGCTGCCATGATCAGTGCTTCTGTGCTGCCCTTCAGTCAGTCACTGTCTAACCATCAGTAGGATTGGCCATAGCCAGTTCAGCCTGTGATGTTACATCCTATGCAGGGGATTTTCCTCCCATGATGGCCTTCAGAGGCGCCATCTTCCTGATGTATTCATAGAACTTGGATGATTAAAATTCACTGGTAGCTACGATGCACACTAGGATATTACAAATTACACACAGTTGTAATTTTTGGATTTACATAAGATTTAGAAATGTATCTAAATTTTGCTATGGGGTGTAGCTATACCATTTTATTTCCCTCACAATTTTTTTTGGTAATTCTTAGGTTCTTTTTTCTTTTTAGAGATTGACCAATTTGTTTCCATTTGCCTTTTTGCGTTGCAGAAGACATATCTGTAATTCCCCATTAGGTGGATCAATCAAGGACATTTTCTTGAATGAGATTTAAAAACTGAACAGTTAGGGCAGGGGCTCTGCTACAGCCATAGTGACACCTCTTACTAATTAACTAGTCTTCATGCACAAACAGCTAAGTTGGGTTTTTACAGCTTTTGTGGTGATGATAAACAACACAGCTTTTCTTCTGACATATACTTAAAAGCTTAAAACCACCTACCTAAGGCTACAGTACTTTTCTGAGGTACTTTAGGGTAAGGGATATAAGCAGGTCCTAGTATAGCAGTTCAGTTAGATAAAAAGCCAGCTTTCATTTTCATGTTATTATTATTATTTCAATCTGATGTACCTAAAAAATAAAACTTTTAGAGAAAATGAAAGCAAAAACGAGCTGTTGTAATGTGGTCACTTTATTATTTTAGACATAAACTGCAAATTAAAAACAAATGCAATGTCACTCTTCCTTCTCCCCTCTGAGGAAAAAAGCGGGCTGTTGGTAGACACCTTTCAGAAACACCAGAACAGATCGAGAAGGCATAGAGCTAACATGGAAGTGGATGTTTGGATAGGATGACTGATCTCTTTGGGCTTTGCATCGCTTTCGGGGGGGAGGCTAGGCCGTCTGAGCCCTTTGCCCCACAGTCTCAAGCCCTGGAAAACATTCACAGCCTGCACAGGCACGTCAAAGCTATTTTGTTCTCTTTGATTCCTTGGCTTCTGCCAAAACAGAGCGTATAGAGGGGGGGAAGAAACATGCCACAATAAGAAAGCAAAATTACTAGTAAAGTGAAATGAATTTGGTTCAAACAGAGAATCAACTTTAAAAATCATCATAAACTTGCTTTCCTTGAGAGGCGTTGATATGTACAGTGCAGAGCTGCAGCCATGTCTGTAGCGGCACATTGGATGGAGTGGGAGTGAAGCAATGCTTTGTTTTTTTTCTACACTGAGGTTAAATAGTGTTTGCTCTCTAACAAGTACAGCCTACAGCAATTACAAGTTTCCGGAGTGATGGCTTTTATTTCATAAATAAAATGCTGCTACAGTAATTATCGTCAGCAATCATAAAAATGCATCAAAGTCGTAATAAGGCAGTGAAAGCAGGTTTGCTTGCTGCACGCGGGGATTAGGCGTGCAGACAGATTGAGGACCGTTAAAAGAAGATAAAATACGAATCGGGGCATTCGGTTGATGATGCAACTTCTCGTCCTTCTCATGCAGAGTGTGTTCATTGGTTTTGCAAGTGATGTTTGCGAGTGGAGCAGCGAGCTGCAGCATTCGTACAGGAGGAGCCTTCTGAGAGTCCAGGCGTTACGCTGTGGAGTCGTGGATGTAGCCCTCAGTTATTCCTAGAAGAGTAAAAAAGCCAGAAGTGAGAACATGCTGGATCTTTGATTTTTATGCCTCGTTGCTGCATGCTGGACTCAGAATGACTTGGACAACTTCTGCCATTTTGTATACACAGAGTGTATGCAAAACAAAATCTTGTGTAATTCATCTAATACAAGTCAGATAAAGGGTTATAGCAGTTCTACCCACATAAACAGAAGCAGAGAGGGACTGCAGAGATGGAAACATACAAAGACACACAGGTTTTATGGGGAAAAACCCCCACAGTTAGTGAAACTTCCAAATTAACTCAGCTATTGACAGAATTCATATTTATCCTCATTTTCAGTTAATCCTGCTGTAATAAACAGGCTTTTCTAACCTCTCATTCTAAAACATCCATTCGTCACCTGAGCTCAGGTTTTCTACTGCACAGCTACTTGGGGACAAAATAAGCCACACTTTTCAGATTTCTACCTGTAAGTAATTTAAACCCAGGCATCTTTTGTTCTGCCATTTTCCAACTCTGCATTACATTCGACTGAGCTATCATGGTCATGCTCATAGCTATGGCATAACAAAATGTGAATCATTGTTTTCCCTCCACATTTCCTTCTTAAAGTTAAGCAGATTATAAATGTTTATGATCCAACAAGAAACAAAATAAAAAATTGCTACTAAAATCTATTATCAGCAGCATAGGCTAAAACATGTGAACAGAGCATGATATATCTTATTCGTTGAGATGTTATGCTGTAGTTTGCTGCTTTCCCTATTCTTAGTCTCTCTCTTTGGCTCCCAAATACTGTGTGTATTTGAAGTAGCTAATGTCCCAAAAAGCACAGTGAAAATGTTTAGTACAGTGTTGCTGATGCCACTGAGACAGTCATTTTACAAACTACACACACACAGGCTGCAGAAAGTAAGCCAAGCATTCCCGTCTGGTTAGTCCCGCAAAGCATCCTCATGCATGCCTGCTCGCACCAGGTTTTCGTGCTTCGGGATAGTATCAGGCACTAATGAAATAAGCTTCAGAGCCATGAGGGGTGAGTAGGACGGCAAGCAGTTTCCAAACAGAGAGAACACTTAAGACGCGAGAGGAGGAGATGGCTTTGGTACAGAGAAAAGACAAGTTCCTTCAGGCGCAGTCACAGCAACCAGAAACCTCCTGCTGCTGGCAGCGGACAAGTTCAAACAGATCTGGGAAGTCTGCAGACACACAGGAACAAGGACCGCCGACCTACTTGTCTTCTCTGCAGAGACTCAAAACCAGGAGGAAAGAGCCACGTTTGTCTTATTCGCTGACTTTGTTTTGCACTTTTCTAGGCGTGGGTTAGAGTTATACCTAAGAATCATCACATTTTATCTTTCAAACTGATATCCTAAATAAAAATCCATAAAAAAAGTGTTGCTCCTTAAAAATCAGCCCATTGCAGGATAATTCTCAGTTTTGTAGCAGTTTATGGTTTAAAAGTCGGCCCTAACACAACAATCAAAGCTGTAATAATTCAGCATTAAAATAAATGATCATACTGTAATGGCTTTGAACTTCATGGTAATTAAAAAGAGTGAAGGTGTAACTGTAAGAAATGTTAAATTAACCTGTTTTTACTTGCTGAAGACAAAGCGCTTGCCCCTGTCAGCTGTAATTTATTATTTCAGAACAGTTTAAGCCTGAAACTGAAATAGAGCCACTTCCAAAAATCCACTGATTAAAATAAATGCAGAAATCTTAACAACACACACAGTGCCTTCTTTTAAACAATACTAGTTTAACACAATTTAAGAATGTTGCAGTTTAAAATTGGGAAGTGTTTGAAACATGAAGTTTATTTTAAATCTGCTCCTAAAGTTCAGGGGAAATCCCACGAGCATCACCCCCCCCCCCATCAGGGAACTTCAATTTCTACCCTACAAATCTAATCTGGCCTTCAGTCCGTGCAGTGGAAATAGTGGCTGTAGAAGCGGCTGATTAAAACAACTCAGGTTTGTGAACAAGGTTTCTGCTGAGGATATTCATCTATAGATTTTTTTAAATATATTTTCTTCAGTGAGTGTATTTTAAACTGAGTAACAGTGCTAAAAACAGACGAAGACTCATCTGTGTACACAAGGATCAGATTTCAGAGCCTGACGGCGCATTAGCAGCTCACAGAGCTGAAGATCTCAGGGAAACAAAAGCCGGTTTAGCTGGTATTTAATCTCTCATCGCTGTAGTTCTCCCTCTAGATACTAATAGATGTAGAAACATGAATGCTCTAATTGATTATTGCATAATCCCAAATGGTTTATTCTCCCTGTGTGGTTGAAATTTAATTATTTTCAATTTTCATAATGTTTATAATTCAAGAAAACCTTTTTTTTAAGTGGAGTAAAAAAAAATACGGTAAGATATCTTCTTTTAACCAGCAGGGGGAGTGTTGCTTCTGAACTACAGAGTCCACAGGAGACAGCCTGCAGCTTTACTGCCAGCCTGCTCACAATAAGCAGAGGCAGTGATATCCTGTCTGTGTGCACACAAACACCCACAATCCTTTTCCCCTTTCCCTGAAAAGACCATAGGGCAATGCAACAAGCAGCGATAGCAACAGAAGCTGGCCGACCCATACCAAATGAAAACCAGGCAGGCTGGGCAACAAGACCTGGGGGGGGGGGGTCTAAAGATTTTCTTACCTGGGTCAGTCCTCCCCCTCCTCTGGCGTGATCTCTGTCTCTTTATGTACCACTACTTTGGTCACTGACATGTCAGGATGTTGCTCTTTAGCTTCCTTTATTGCCTGAGCCAGAGCCTAAATATGGGAGGGTGCAGTGACAGCAGGGGAGCACCAGGGGGAGACAGAGAACGGTTTGATTTGCAGTCAGTATGCCAACAGGGAAGTCACCTTGTAGTAAAGTACTAAATCACATGGCCATAATATAACACAGCTTGGAAGATAAACGTGAGGCAGTGGGGGGAACCAATTAATTAACCTTGACAAACGCATCACATTAACAAGTAACTAATTTCAAAAATGGTGTTTGAAGAAAAAAACAAACACATTTGTTTCCGTTTGTTTTGATGATTGGAGCTTACAGCTGAAGAGAAACCTACATTCAGTTTCTAAATTAAAAACTGATGTTACACAAGATAAAGTCAAAAATATTTTTAATACAGAGATGTATCATTACCGGATTAAGACCTACACAATCAATACCACAGAACCATGATATATAAAGCCTATCCGAAATGGTTTAAATATGTTTTCATTTTTTTTTGGGCTGAGAAAGAAACTGTGGGTCTAACAGGTTTCTGATTTTGTTTGGTTCTAAAGAAAAGAATCTGGGGCATTATTTTACATTCATACAATACAGTAGGCAATAATGTGGCTCCATTTTAAAGAGGCTCTACTCTTCAGATGCCTATAAAAATGATTTTTATTAATTATTGAGGTTATTAAGACGTTGTCCTTATCAGTTGCTACTTTTAACTGTCCTCTGAGAGTCTACAATTTCTCACAGCTATAAGCCATAATCATAAAAAATAACTGAAAATACACTTCAAATACATCACTGACTGTTATAAGTCTAAGTTTCTAAAAGGTTGTTAACTAAATTACTGAAATGAATCAGTTTTCCATCAAAGTAGGAAATTATACGAACCTCATCATGGTCGATGTCTGCATCTCCAGTGATGACGATTCTCTTCTCGATTCGAGTCTCTGAGATTCCACCTTTCACCGTCTGATCAACAGAATATTTCACTTCATTCAAATTCATTTAGTCCAGAACTTATTTTTGATTAAATACTTTGGCTGTAAATGTCCAAAAAACTATGAACTACTTCTGACTTGTCAAACAAAGGTTATTTAATAAAGGATTTGTCACAGAGACTTTAAATAAAGGGTTTTTAACAGAATTTTGGGGGAGGGGCGGTCTAGTGGTTAGGGGATAGAGCTTGCAATCCTGAAGTTCTGAGTTCAATCCCCACTCCCACAGACTGCCACTCTGGGTCCCTGAGCAAAGACCCTTTACCCCAGACTGCTCCCTAGGTGCTGCACAGAGGCAGCCAGCAACTCCCCAAAGGGATGGGTTAAAGGCAGAGAGTTAATTTCATTGCTCTGTACTTGTAACGGTGTAATGACAATAAAAGCTGGGGGAAAAAAATAAAGAATAGTATTAAGCCTAGAGAGCGCAGAGGCTCCATAGATGTGTGAGGCTTTTTATGCAGAGTTGGGGGCAAAGAGCCGACAGATGCATCCTGACCTTTGTGATGTGCGTGGTTGTGGTGGTGCTGGTGGTTTCCGAGGTGATTGTCTGAGCGCTTAGCAGCACCCCGGCGTCTGCATCTCCATTCGTGTCGACCTGTTGGTGGGAATAACATTCCCCATTTGTACTTTGCAGAAGTTCATTTTTAAGCAGACATATTTATAATACATTTGCTGAAATGTTATGTGACCAAAAATAGTGAATACTTAAGTGGCGGGAAGGTATGAAAGCGTTTACAACATGTTTAACAAATAACAATCCGACAAGTATGGCATTTCTTTTTTCTTTTAAATATCATCAAAATTAGTCTTAAAAGCTACATAATAATGGTGAAACACCATGGTGGCAGCATCATGCTGTGGGACATCAACATAATTAGTTGTTTTTCTTAAATGAGCAACAATCTGTATATTTACAAGGTAAACCTTTACAAACCAAACAGAGGGTAGTCACTAAATGTGGTGGGTGGATATCCAGTTCATCCTCAATATTACAATTACAGTAATGTTTACTGCAATGTTTCACTTGCAGTAACGTGTTTAACTCCTAAAATATCTCAGAAAGTGAATCTAATTATTCCAATCCAATCTACTTTTGTAATAAATTCACACTGTAGGCTTTAATGCTTAATTCCATTTTTTTTTTTTTGCTGATATCTGATTTTTTTTTTCCACATTTCCAAGTATATGTGACTTATATGTGATCTCCTGTGTGAACTGCTTTCATACAGCTTAACTGTCCCATATGGGCAGTAGAGGACACAATGAGATCATAAGTAGCTAGCGTGCTCTGTGTTCAGGGAAATAAACATGGATGGTAGTGCCAGACCGCATCTAGCTATACTTCATTTCTTTTCCAACGGGAGCCAGGGCATGAACAAAGCAATCTTTTCAAGAAGATCTAAAACAAAGACTGCTTCACGCATCATTATCCGCCATGGCTGCATCTGCATTGCTGGATGCAGAATAGAGACCTTTTTTGAGCACTAATGACGTTCAGGTCAGATGAATGCGACCTGACCATTCAGACACAGGTGGCATTTGAAAAGATCACATGTGTATCAGAATCAGGACCACAGTGGCCTGGGTCACATTTGAAAAAAATCTGTTTTTCAGACCGACATGAAAAGTCATATATGGAGAAAAAAAAATAAAATGGATTTGGGTCACTTCATGCTGCAGTGTAAATGTAGCCTTAATCAGTCACAACTTCAACTTAACACCTAACAAATATAAATGACTAATGAACAACATTAGTAGTTGGATTAAACTGAAAAACCGTGAAGAAATTGCCACCTCCTCCTCTACCAGAGACTAAAATGATATATGCAGCATTGATGAGTTTGGTCAGGATGTTTGATGAAAAACAATAAAGTGGAAAGGACCTGCAGTTTTAAATTACATTTATTGATCGTAAAGGAGCTGAAAGAGCCAATGCAGCAATGGAGTGTATGGAGCTCTGACTGGAAACAAAGGGCTCATAAATGATGTGCATGTTAAATCCATCTTACAGACTCAATCGACTGTCTTTCTTGACCAGAAGTCTAAGGGACTCCTAACAAGAGCTGCAGCTAAAATACAGTATGAAACGTGTGTTTGGTTCCTTATTTTGGTTATAATTAAAGATTTCTTAATTTGGATAAAAAAGAGACAGAGCATCATCTTTTACAGACTGACCACTGCTAGTTACTTTGTGTTGAAACCGACCTCAGCTGACTCGTAGGTGATGGTTTTGGTCTCAGTGTGGACCACAGGCACGTCTTTAGAAGGCACATCCACGCCATCAGGAACCTACAGCACAAAAACACATTATTAACTCCACTATGGTACAACTTAAAAAAAAAGATCTAAAATCCAACTGTGACCCAGTTTTCCCACATTTAAATCCCAACACTTCTTGGTTTATTTAGGTAGACTTTTCATGTTTAAATTAAAAACTTGCAAAATAAACAAAGGAGAGAGGGAAGAATAAAATGAAAGAGGTAAATAAGAAAGGAAAGAAACAAGTAAGTAAATCAAGTTAAGAAACAAAATATGCCAAGACAGAAATAAAAGAGAAAGGAAGGTTCTGGAAAGAAAAAAAAAACACTGACAAATGAAAGCAAATAAACAAGTAAGGAAAGAAAACAAGAAAGAAACTAGTTAAGACAGAAAACAAAGGAATTAAAGGAAAGGATGGCAAATAAGGAAGAGGCTAAGAAAAAGAAATACAGGCAATGCTGAGTAAAAAGTAGAAGTCGAACAAAGAAGAAACAGAAATTAAAGAAAGCAAGGAAAGGAGAAAGACTGAATGAGAAGGCAAAAGGAAGAAGCTAGTAAAGAAACTAAGAAGAAACAAAATGAAGGAAAGACAAACTGATGATACAGAAAATACTTGGAAAATAGCTTTTCTAACAAAGCGATCTCTGTTCTAAAGACCTGAGACAAAATGGAGGGTCTAGGTTGACCCACCCCTGGTGGTACAGATAATAAGCCCATGGAGAGGTGCGTCCATCTGCGTTAAAGTGTGCTGACAGAACTGATCACTATCCTTTTATATCTGTGGCATTACACTGAAATCACCAATGAGTTAAACCGGTTAGTCATTTTCTGACATTTATACGCAACACTGTATACTGACCCCCCTGAACATCACTTCATGCCTCCTTTGGTTCTGCAATGCTGGCTTCAGTTTGAATACTTATGACATATTATGGTTCCACTCCTGTGATGGAACCATAATTATTAGGAGTCCTACTGAAAATAAACCAGTATTTCTTCTTAAATCTACCATGTTTTAAAAATGTCCTCCTAACCCCTGCACATGAAATCGAATTAAGATAAATAAGTGCCACATGTGAATTAACTAAGCCAGGGATAGCGACGGATGGATTCAAAATACATTACTGCATTCATGCATTACTCTCCAATTCAGTGAAGAAGAGGTCACCAAGATGGAAAATCACAAGGTTTCCATTTGGTATTTGCACCACAATCACATTAGATGTCCTCTGACCTGAGCAGCTGCAGGAGCAGACACACAACTGGAGTGTTTGTAAGGAGTCCAGTATGAGCCGCTTTACTGGACTTTGTTTCAGGACGCCTTTATTTACATTCTAAATTCCTAGTACCTTTTTTTAAATGAGAAAGCATGGTTAGTGTGGCTGAGAATCCTTTACATCTTGCTATACCGTCCTACTAAGAAGCAATTGCCTTTTATGGGGCTATAAAGTAGGGCTAAGTAAGTAATTTCATTTCTATTTATTTGTATGCATTGTACCAATTATAACTATGCATGTAACAAATAAACTGTTCTATCTATTTCAAACATATTCTTTATTATTGTTGCTTAACTCCAGGTAAAAGCAGATAGAATGATTTGATATTTAAGATATTTGATAAATCTTCCTGGATGTTGGCTATCTTCCCCTAAACTATTTAAGCATAGTGTGCCACCGCTGTTTAAAATGTTCCCTAAAGGAGTTCTCAAAATTCTCTTATCTCTATAGCTGGGGTAGATCCATTCATCTATGAGAAAAAGTGAGGAGTTTTCCAACAGTAACAGTAAATTATTGTGACAATGGAGTCTGGATAGGCCAGCGTTCTCGGTCATGAAACATCTACATGATTGTGGTCGGTATAGAGGAAAATCTAAATAATATCTAATAAAATCCTATTCATATTTTTGGCAAAATCTTTCAGCCCTATAATAAAGCAGATCTACTGTAGCATCATAAATGATAGTTTATTGGTTGAAATAACACCTGTTTATTTTTAGGCCAGGAAGTTCTTTTGTCTCCATCTGACAATTAGTTGTGGCTAGCAAACTCTCAAGCTGTATGCATGATCTAGCTTTAAACTTATATTTACAAACAAGCACTTCTCATGTTGGACTGTCATTTCAAAGATTAACAGATTATGGAGGTGTGTCTCCAGCCAATATCCTGGTGGATAGAGGAGTTGCACAGTTTGGAGCCCCAGAGTGAAAAAAAACACACTCCAAAAACGAACCGGATAACCCAAAACAGTTATAGGGAAATTTCCTCTAAGGGTGATATGTTCCAGGCTCCAGGTACAAAGTAACTATGCCCGGCCTCTGGTTGGACACCTTGGCCAATATATTCTGACTCCAATTCAGTAAGGATGTGATGGTTGAAACTAAGTGAGACATTTACCTTTGATGTGACGGGCTCGGCTTCGTTTTCAGTAATAACCGGCTTCTCGTCCTGGTCAGCCGATGCCTGGAAACAACAGTTAGACTATTGTTTATGCTTTACATCTATTTGACAACACAATTTCAAACACTCTTAATTCTTATCACTCCTAACAAGAATTTTTTTTTGAATTTGTTCAAAGATTTCGACATGATGATACGTGGAGATGAATAAGGTGCTTTGCAAATGTTATTCACAGAACCCCAAAATTGAGTGTAAATGAGTAAATGATGAAAGAGCTGCAAATAATTGTAAAGGAGAAGGAGAGTAGTTAACAAATAGAAACACTGAAGGTGGGATCTGAAAAGTGAGGGCATATCTGCTGAACAAAAGCCATCCCACAGCATGATGCTGCCACTGCTGTGTATTGCAGTAGGGATGGTGGGTTTTGGGTAATGTGCAGCGCTAGTTTTCACTACACCTTCTTTCTTAAACTTTTGCAAAGCACTATTAAGAACCAGAGAATAAAAGGTCACCTTTTGAGAGGGGGAAACCCATCCGAAAGTAGACTGATGGAGGACAGGGATGAATACACATAAAAACACAGAGAAAAGGTGAAGAAAGGACAGCAAAATGTCACAGTAATACAGCAACAAATTAAGAAAAAAGGGAAAGTTTAAAATGTAGAGATTGTATGGAATACCATGATGTAGCTTACTAAAGGTTGAACAAAATCTAGATTTGGAATATACTGGTATTTCACTGCTAATCTGCTTTTAAATGATTTTTAAGGAGAGAATTTATCAGGTAGATCCATACAATTTATCAACGACCTGAGGATGGAGGTGAGGATTTTGGAGGATGTGGGAAAAGCTGCAGCGGTGGCATCCAGCCAGGAGCTATGATGTCACTACTTTTAGGGAACGGATTTAAAGAGCTTAAAGAAAGGAATGGTTCAGCTGAAACAAATCAAAGTATATCAAAAAACAAAAAGCCAGCCAGAACTCCTGCTCCTTTCCTCATGGTCTGTGGGAGCCAGCTGCTCAAGCATAAATAGCTGCTTTAGCTGTCAACCAAAAGGAAAAACAAACCTAAAGGCATTTGGATTAAAACAAGGACAACAGAAACCAGCGGCCTGCCTGATAAATGCCGGGTGTTAAAGGAACTTTCGGCATGCAGGAGAATTGATTTCCCTGTTAAACCGAAGCGGGTGCTGCGGGTAGCGGGGAGGCGATGGGGGTTAGCTGTGGGTGGTTGAGGCATGAGGAGAGGTTTGCTTTTAGTTTTCATACGGTACCACTGCTAAGGATGCAGCTGAAGCTTCAGAGACTGTAATGTGAGTCAGGCTGGACTCGAGCTGCTTAGACTGGATTCCTTCTGCTTTCTGCTGCACCTCATCCAAAGTTTTCAGCTCTTCGACTTTCTTTGTAAACACACCGATGACCTGTGATACCTCCACCTTCTCCTCAGAAATCCACGATGCCATTGCTTTCTTAGGAGAGTCAATATTTTTAATCTGGGCCGTGTCACCAGTCTTTATCTCTACCGTTGGACTTAGCATCTCAACTACTGAAGTTTGACCTTTTACAGCAGCAGGAGCTTCTGTTTCTTTCTCGGTCTCATCGGTTTCCAGCTCTATTGGGGCCGGGAGTGACTTCTTTTCGCTTGTCCCTTCATCCTGTGTGTTCTCTTTATTCTCTGGCTGCTTAAAGATAATGAGCGTGCCTTTCTTGTCGCTGATGGCCTGGGACACCTCCTGCCTCACAGCTCCAGGGCTGACCTTCACATCCGACCTGTCTGATACCTCCTCCTCCTCGTGGGATTTGCCCTCCGCCTCTTCTCTCAATGTCCCATTTATGAAGACGTCATCATCCATGGTGGTCGACAAGCTAATACCGTGGGGCCCAGAGGAGGTGGCCCCCTCGGTTACAATGCTATCCGGCACGTATTTGACCAGATATCCTGCCGCCTGGGGAGAGACTTGACTTGTTGGAGAGTGGGAATCACACAAATACGAGACGGAAAGAGGCTGACACACAAATACAGCTTGAGCACCACAAGGATGAGCTGGGATACATCGTAGCATTTAATCATTAGAATATGACCAATGCTTAGATTTGGTGTTTATTATATATCAGACTGCTAATTTAATCAATAGTTATAAAGAAATATATATATATATATATATATATATATATATATATATATATATATATATATATATATATTTTTTTTTTTTTACATTTTAGTAACAGCCACATACATGTGGAGCTGGAAAGATGGTAACAAAATGACACGCAGAAACATTGAAAAACACTATAACTGATTAAAGACTAAAACCAGAGACAATCAAACCAATAGGTAGCAGCTTACCACAGTGTCTTTAGATCCAACCACCTGTTTCGTCTCTTCCTCGGTTGGCTGCTCATCATTAGCCTGGAAAAGAGTAGAAAACACACAAGGTTTAAAAGCACTTAAGCTAATTAGAAAAGGATGCTATGAATGACTAGTACATGCAGAAAGTTTTAAGACTGAAATCTCCATCAAGAGGGATATAGGAGCTCTTTATGAGTCTGCCAGTTGGTGCAACTTATTGGTGAAAGAAGTTGCTGCTACAGCATACAGATTAGAGCGTGTATAAGGTACAAAATTATTGATAACCAGCTGATAAAATTACAAAATAGACCGAACAGAAAAGACAAATATTTCTATGCAAATTCTTGGTGATCACTGTAATGAGAGGTAAGAAAACAAAATAAAGGACTTTTAAAACCTTTATAAATCCTTATAATTTACGATTCAACCTTTAATTCAAGAAGATGTATTCAGTGTTGGAAACCAGCCCACATGGATCTTATAAAACTCGCAAAACCAAACAAATAATTCCTTAAAAAAATATGTCTAATGCACTGATTTGACCATGAAGAGACCTGAATGGATTTCATGACCTTATGTCACTGGGGTCTAAATTAGGGATGTGAATTTGCAAGAATTTGGTGATACAATATGATTTATCCTGATACATCATGATACAGCAGCAAAGATGATGACGCTCTTGGGCGGAGCCATGCCCACTAGCTGTTGGAAGTTTAAGTGTTATAAAACACAAAACAATAACAAAACAAAAACAGATGTTTACCTATAAATAATTTTTACATTTAAAATTGATTGCATTTTACTCGCCATCACAAACAGTTTGCAGGAATATCCAAAGCTCCCTTTTTGAGTGCTGTTATATAGAATAGCACAACATGAGATAAAAATAGGCCTAAGAAATTTAAAATATGTGTTCTCAAATTAGTGGATAAGATCACAGCAACTGATCTAAAATCTTGTCATGCTCTAAATAGCACCAATTCTTAAGTGATCTGACAAGCTAACTGAGAAATCAGACCCGTTTCCATGATACCCTCAGAGGTGAATGACCCTGAGCCCTATATACGGTGTTTTGTTGCTTTAACTGAAGTCCAAGCTAACATCCTAATTAGGACAATTTTCTGGGGTAAATCTCTAATTGGGTAATCAGTTTTTACACCGGTACAAACTGAGGAATAGCGGGTCAGCAAAGCCTCCAAGACAAAAAATATACCATCCAAAAGGGCAATTACAGTAGTAATTCAGAGCACTACTCTGAAACAACCCACGGAGGCTTAGTAATTAATGCAGTAATTCAGACCTTATGTCCTATTGATTTGAAGCCATTACTCTATGATGGGAAATGGTACTAAAATCTGAAGTTAGAAAAGCTAAACCTGAAAGAACAAATGAGGATTTCACTCTGGAGCCTTTGTGAGAAACAGTGGACAGTAGGAAATATCTGTACATATTCACATCAATGGTCAATAAGAGGAACGGATGTAGACCAGGGAAAGACTGGTGGTCGCTATAACCGTGGCTACATGAGTATCACTTCAAAAAATACAATAAAACCGACAAACCGAAATGTTAGAAAATGTGCAAATGGAAGAATAAAAAGTAGACAGTTTGAAGATTTAAGCAGAGTATGGGTTAAGTAGTCGTCACTCTGGATGTTAGTGAAGAATTCCTGAAAGCAGAATAAATATAAGGGAGAAGGTTGTTTTGCAGGTGGAGGAAAGACTAAATCAGAGACTAAAAACAGAGAGACACCTCCATCAGATTATTTAATTTCCTTAAGATTACACAATCACCTGAAGCAAAACACTTTACATTATTATGGTATGTTTGTTTGATTATTACTATATGTTTAAATGCTGGAATAGGTCATGACTTTTTTGTGCTACAAGGTAAAACTACCGCCCAAACATTCACCATCTCTTTGATAACTCAGATTTTAACTATGTGGTGTATGAAACGCTGTTGAGAAATTACTGTTAACATGAACGTGTGAGAAATGTGTGGATACCACAAAACACTAAACCAGACAGAATCTGATGCCAAAAAAAAAGTTATTTTCCTATAAAGATGAGATCACCACCCAAAAATCTAGTCAGCAATTATTCCTACTGCCTTTTTCAAATAAAGCTGTTCTTTGTTGATGTCATGCTCCACACAGACATGCTGTCACAGTCTGCAGCTTACGTCCTGCAGTTCCAGAGGTTCTATCATTGGAGATTCATCTGCTCTGGGTGAGCGCAGAGGCGACGAGGAGAGTCTCTTCTCCCATTCTGTCTGACCTGGACCACCGCTGCCGCTGCCAGTTTCAAGGAAGGAGCGCTTCAGCTCACTGATGTTGGTCTGATGCTTGACCACCTCAGGTGGAGGCTCAGAGTCCTACGGCCGATAACCGGTGACAGAGGGAGGGGGAGATGAGGGAGGAAGTCATGCTTTACTAAGCCAACGGCAGCTTACATCAACGGATGAGTCACTAAAAAGTTCTGAAACCAAAAGGCTATGTTTTTTTTCAACTCTACGGGTTCCTAAACAAGCTTCACGTCAGACTAATAATCATACTCAGCTTTTTTTTTTAGCATCTCCCCCCAAAGTACAGAAAAGTTGTTGAAAAGTATGGCAGTATCTTTAGAATGACTGCATTTTGATGATGAAACAGTAAAGATCACTGGAAGTGGATGAAATGGATGGATGGACGAAACGGATGGATGGGGGCATAGATGCACGCATAGATGGATAAACAAAATGGATGAAGAGACAAACACAAAAAAGAACGGATGATAGATCAATGGATGCTTAGAAGGATGGATGGATGAGTAGCCCTATGAATGAATGGATGATATAAAGGTGGATAAAATGACTTGCAGAATATAACAAACATCTTTCCTTTATTTTTTCATCTTTATCCAGATGGGATTAAAGAATAACAAATTCCTGACTGTTTCAAATTTCCCAGACTGTGTAGGAACCCCGCATTCTGCAGACCTGCATCACTCACTCTAATACTTATTGTATAAAGATGTTAAAGGCTCTGCAGGCTGCATGTGAAGCTTTTTCCAAAACAAATTTAATAAAAACAAAAAAAAAAATCACTTAAATGCTTCCAAAGCATTTAATGCAAAGACAATAAAGGCTTGCATGCATCGTTCTTGTTATGCACAACACTCCCACATCTCAAAACAGATCTACTCCAGTTTGAGTTACATTTGGTTTTTAAAAAGGCTGAAATCCCACAGCAACAACTGTTTTAATCAACAAAGTCAAGAAAACAGTACATAATACTGTTGAATTATGTGTTATCTCTTCATCAAAATCATTCGTTATGCCTTAAAAGCACCTGCATGCATTTTTCAGACATGCTCTGTTTGCTTACCAACCTCTAGCATCAGGTTACTATGTCTGATAAAAACATTTTCCCCTTTTGCTCGTCTTATGAAACTATACTGCAGAGACAAAAAAGGCAAAGGGGTTGTTACATAATTAGTTAACAGACACTATATTTTTTCTGGTGTAATTTCAACTCTTGTTTGGAGAAAATGGGAGCTTTGGCTTCTGCTGTTTGGGAGCAAAATGATGAAACTATGAAAATAAAAAATAAAGAAATCATGCAAAAAAAAAAAAGAGAAAAAGAACATCATAACTACTGGTATTGTTTTATGATAAACCAGTTAAACCCATCAGTTATTTGGATGCCTGGGAGAGTCAATGACAGCAGCAGGCTAACCAAAACAGAGGGTGAGAAAAAAAGGATAGAAAGCTATTTTTTTTATTGCATTCTGTTTCCAGGCACTTAGCAGGGGTTCCCACTGCGACCCTGATGTACCTGAGTCCGCATCTCGGAGTCCTCATCAGCCTCCGACTGACAGCAATTAAAACGAAGAGAACAGACAAGATGAGAGGCAGCAAAGCATCATAGAGAGGAGATGTAAAGTGTGGAATAAGGACAGAAAATAGAAAATAACTCAAGGCAGATGTCGAAGAAAAACTCTGCTGTAAAATAAATTACAACAATTCCCATAAGCTCTAGTTAATTTTTTAAAACTCTGCCCTGCTTAAATTATTCTTTAACATCTGCTGCCAGATTTTACCCAGCATCACATTATTTTTTAAAAGGACATGAAACTAAGCCGCAAAAAAATTGTTTATAAGTCGGCAAGAGCAGGACATGACCTCATATTTTTGTGCGGGATCTAAAATAAAAACAAATTAGTGGGAGTCTTCATCAACCGCTTTGCTGATGACTGTATGCCAATTTTCAAACAATATGACTTATACGTCGTGTACTTTAATACAAGATGGTTATATTTTAAACTCCTGTGGTTTTGTTTAAAGGTAAGGCAGTAACTGGTGACTAGAGTCAGTGGATCAACGATATAGACCTCCTGGCATTTGCAAAACAAAGACCAAAAATCACTTTCAATACGCTTAAACGAGCTTTCTTTCAAATCTCCACAAGTTAAACTGGAAAATGTGTGGAAATTGTATCCAATATTTTCTTTAGATAAGATCTCAAAAGTGAGTGGAACTATGCTCAAAAGCTCCGTTCCAGCTAAAGCATGTGACAACTTGCTCCATTCATTTCTATGTGAAAGTCTGTTTCAATGAGCCATGAATGAAACCAGTAACAAACTGTTTAGAAAAGAATGAGGGAGTCTGACTGCTAGAACAGTTGAATTTCTCCCTTAAACATTTCTGTCTGGTATGTTCAGTTATGGCAACAAGGAAGTACTTTAAAAGGAAGGGCATAAATGAAAATATGTAAATATCGCTGACATTAAACCAAAATCTAACCATAAAAAGGAAGATACTAAAAAAAATAAGGAAGTGTGTTTCTAGTTTGATTAAGCAAGCTCAAAAAGTAACACTTATGTCCAAACCAACCATTTTGGAGCTACAAACATTTGTTAAAAATAATCTGCGATAAAAAAAGTTTTTATCTAAATGCTGGATTTGTCCCCTCTTTAAAATACAAACCTCTGTGGCAGTCATGTCTCCGTCACAGGCAAAGTCCGTACGTTCGCTGTCAGTCTGCGTTTTGCAGACCGAAGCAAAACATTCCCAATTGCAAGCAAGAAAAAGAAGAAGAATCCAGCTTGTAAGTGTTGGAGAAAAACATGCATTTGTCATCAAAACTTCAAACATAAAAAAAAAAAAAAAAAAAAAAAAAATCTTTTGTACCACCAATGGGATAAATGAAAATGCTCTGACTGCTGGAGGTATACTGATGCCTCACAAACACCACAGATAAAGGTGCAAACAGCACAAAAAATATAGAAGGCGAAATAAAAAGGAAAACAGAAGCAGCAAGCAACACAGACTCAGAGGAAGATTAAACCGTCAGTCGGTCACTGAGATCAGAAAGTGGATTTTCTCTCAATTTGTGTTAAAGAGGCTGCAACATTAAATATAAGAATATAGAAGTTTACAGACACTCATCAACAGCATTAATATCCTTTTTGGTTTTATATAAAGATTTACCTGACTCTTAATGTTTTCAGGGCATAAAGGCGTTAAAGCAATTTCAATGATCTAGAAAAAAAATAGAACTGCCTCCAACAGTTCATATTATATATGTGTATTTTGTCTTAAAAATGAAGAACTGACCTTCACACATCCTAAAGATTAATTGACCTTCCACAAGACTTTCCATAATGTGTCAGTCCTGGCATCATTCTGGGATTTTAGTCAGTGCAGCAGAATGGTCAAAATATTTGAAGGGGTAAGCAGTATAATCTAAAAGGGAGCCATTTATCATTTTCTTAAGATGTTATCATTGTCTCACAATCATACCATGCCTATCTATAGCCGCCTTCTATAGCAATAATTCATTAATTAGGTTTTAGGTGAGGATCTAAATAAAAAAGTTTGGTCCACAGTTGAATAAAAAGTTACAGCTTCACTTGAAACCAACCAACTGGGAATCGTTTAGTCAGTGTCATTTTTTATTTCAAACCCTGTTATGGAAAGAATGCAAAATAAAAGCACATATACCCTTAATTTTATCTAAGAATCACATGAATCTCATCAAAATAGCAGGTGGAGATCTTCAGTGCTGCAGCCAACTGTGACCATTTTAGTCTAACTACATATAATTTCTTCAGAATAAAAAAAAGTAGGCACTTCTTGGGGGAGTGGTGGCCTAGTGGTTAGGGCATAGAGTTTGGGATCTTGAAATTGTGAGTTCGAAACCCACTCCCACAGACTGCTCCCCGGGCACCCCACAATGGCAGCCCTTTGCTCACCAAGGGGATGGGTTAAATGCAGAAATACATTTCTCCAATGTGAGATCAATACAGTTCAATTATTATTATTATTATTGCACAAAACTGATTTTTAACATTTTATGAAATTAAATAGATGGAAATGCCAGAGATAGGGATTTTAAATTAAAATTTTTGTTCCATCATTATTAGTCTTGAAAAAAAAAAAGACCCAACTATTTCTGGTATCTATGCCGATGATGAATAGCTGTAAACTTTACATCAACATTAAATATAACTAAAAATAAGTTTAAGTAAAACAGAAAGTGATCTGCTGATTTTACGGCTGTACAGTAACCTGACTTTCAGGCCCTCCCTCTCTTCTCCATGCAGGTTTACATCATGGGTGATGTATAGGCATCACTGCGTCTCTCTGCATCACTGATGCTTTATGTGAAATATCACATCATTACAAACCCAAGCAAAGGCAGTTTTAATTTGTGGAGATTTAGTTGAAATAGAAAGTAATGCAGGGAGACCAGGCCAGGACTTAATCATGAGACTGTCAACATGCAACTAAAGAGCAGTGCCTCACAAAATGATCTATATCCGCTATGTTAGACAGTTAGACACTTTGCAAAATTGTGAATGGGAAGGTATTGCTTTCAAAATGTTTTACAGTAAAATTTGAAAAGTGTGGAGGGTATTTTTTAAACTCGTGCTCCTCTGAATCAATGTTGTATACCCACCTTTCACTACAGTTAAAGCTGCTCGTCTTCTACAATTTTCTACCAGATATGTAAGTCTAGAAACCAAAAATCGACCCAATCTTTCTTTCTAAACTTATCAAGCTCAGACAGCCTGCATAGAGAGCATCATTGCTCAAGCTTCCTGGTGCCTGCTAAAGAGAAGCTTCATGGGAACATGAAGCAGCCACTACCTTGTTTAACGGTGGATGTGGTGGTGTTCCCTTCATGGTTACAACAGAGAGGATTTCCTCTGGATTTATTTCAACACTGGCTTATTCCTTGTTACCCCTCCATTAAGACCACAGTTAATGACTAATAGTCGTCCCATAAACACCTGAGCTGTGGCGCCTCTTTGATGTCCTGTTGCTTTAGGCAGAGCACCATGCCTTTTTGTTCAGTTCCACTATAGTCTGCTCTCTAACGCAGTGTTCAAAGCTTGGGATAAAGTTAATAACCTGGCTGTGCTCCTAGACAAGTCTTCTGTACTCTTTGGTCTTCATGGAGAACACTAAGAAACCTCTCAAACCTTCACATAACAGCTGGATTTCTAGTACAAATAAATGAGATAAACATTAAATCAAACTAGTTTTTTGTTTCTTTTAGATGTTAAACTTAATTATGGGAGCTGAATACCAATACTTGCCTGACTTCAGATTTAATTTGCAACAATGATTTGAAAACAATTCATAACTTTCCTTTTCAGAACTTTGCATTTGTCCCACACATCCCCCAATAAATACTGGTAAGTTTTAAACATGAATGAAGGTACATGGGCAAAATGTTAAGGGTGAATCTTTCCACACAGCGCTGCTGTTTTTTGTGCTCAACCTGAATAGAATTAGTCTGAAATTCAGGCATGCTGGATTTAAGGGGAGATGGGAGAGAGGAAACGCTCTGAGTGATAAAGATGACTTCTAAAAACCCAACTAGGCTCCAAGACAATCATCTATTAAATGATATTTTACAGTGGTTAGTGGTGATGCAGCAGAGAAGGTAAATTTGATGCTCATGCAGGTAAAATGAACCCTGTGACTGTGTTTAACTCTCTCATGAAGGTAATGTGGCCACTTAGATGAGATGGTGAGACTTGCAGGTTCATCTCTGTAAGCATGACTCTAATGATGATGTTTTAACGGGATGAGACATCAGAGATGAGGCTCTGAAAGTAGGAGACTGACGGACACTGGGACACACTATCTCCAGATCGGAGCTATGCTGGAGGGTTTACAGGTCTTTCTGTCAGACGTGGGAAGTGGAGCACAGGCATACGCACACACACCTCCTCTTCCTCTGAACTGTCATGGTCATGGTAGCCCTGGGCTATGGAGGCGGTCAGGGAGGCTGCCTTGGGCTCCAGGTAGCAGAGACACAGCGCCAGCGGAAAGGAGAGGGTGAGAGCGTAGGGCACTGAGAAGGAGGTGGAGAGGAGGAAGAAGAAGATGAAGAGGAAGCAGGGGATGAGAGACGGAGACTTAAAGGGGAGGAAGTTCTGCGCGCACTCTGGGATGAAGCGCATTTCGGACAGATCGGGGAATGTGATGTAGCCATCCTCATCCAGAACGGAGGACAAGTCGGGCAGATGCAGGGAGAAGGAGAAGAGCGTGCCGCCACGCCGCGCGCCCTGCTCAAGGCGCTGCTTGCGAGCGGACAGCAGTAGCGCCTGCTCCTCCAGCAGGGCGGCTCTGCGGTCTGCGCGGGCCTGCCGCCGCTGGCAGCCGTTGCCATTCTTGGCCGGGCTGACCGATGAAGCCCGCTTGCGGCCGCTCCCCCTGCACCTCCGCCGCAGATTGCTTGGCAGGATGGGCGATGATGGGAGGGAGAGCTCGGAGCGGAGGGGGTCACTGGCGTAGACGAGATGGGAGAGCTGAGAAGGGGGAAATGTCAGCAAGGAGGTGATGTGTTTGTGGATGGAGAGAAGCGAAGGGGAAGGGGGGGTGAACACGCATGAGCACATACAAGTAAAATGTGAGGGTCAAAGGAAGGACAAGAAAAGAAAAGCAAATTAGTAAAGCGCACAAAGGATGAGAAGCCTCAGTACTGAAGTGGGTTAAACTGAAAGCAACTGGGAATTTCACATCAGCCATTAAGAAAGTAAAGAAAAAAAAAAGAAAACAAAAACAGAACTAAAATATCTGTTTTGCTTTTTTTAGAGAAGAAACTCAGGAACAATAAAAGCCTCTTTGAGGTTCCTTCCGTCTACTTCTCTGTTGGTCAGCTCTACCTTTGTGTCATGTCTAAGCGGTGTCATCTCCGTCGCTTCCGGTGTCTCTGTGGCCGCTTTCTGCACTTCCTCCTGCTCCTCCTTCTCTTCCTCCGCCTTCCTCTCTGTCGTTACCGTGGTGATGATGTCTTCATGGGCAAGAACTTTGGGCACACCGTCACCTGTGCCGTCCTTCACAGGAGTCTCATGGTTCTCTGTAATGGGGGCTGAGAACAAATATGGAGTCTGTCTTTAACATGTAGTTGTCTGGAAATATGTAAGCTTACATTAAAGAACTAAACATTTTTTCACTTATATCAAATAAAATAAAAAAAAGATGTGCCAAAGAAATACTTGCTTATTTAAGAGGCATTACAGAGTTTTCTAATGATACTCTCACCTGTATCCAAAACACAAAACTGCAGCACTCATCCGTTCGTTCTCATAGCTCACGCTCATATCGAACAAGATTTTTATTTTACTTTTTTCACCATACCAGAAGTTGCCATTGGTGTCTGAGGTGAGCAGGATGCCGGTCGCTTCTGAATACCCACAAAATGCATCTTGAATATGACATTTTGTTTGCTAGATAAGACCCATTTAACATGAACAACCCTGTAAAAATGTACATTATGTCTCTTAAAGTTAATAATGATTAAAAAGGTAATTGTAATTATAAAAAGTTGGAGGAAAATTCCTCTCACATTAGGCAGACAGCCTTCACCAATAATCGCCATATTTAGCCCTCCACCAGAAAAGCAGTTTTTGCTTTCCATCGCCAGACCTCCTGAAGGCCCCTCCCCCTTAAAACCCGCAACCATGACAATCAGCCAGAGTTCGTAAAGATAGCCTAGGAGCTAATAATAGTACATAAGAGGAAGGCCTTAGCTCGACTGATTCACTGCTACAGACCATTCTGGGCAGTCAGTTTCCCCTTATGACATCATAAAGGACCTGGTTTCAAACAGAGCATTTTGAACACCCATCAGCAACGAAGTAGAGAAAGGCGGTTGGAGAGGGGAAAGGTTTTTTTTTTTTTCATTTGTAAACCTCATACACAGACTTCAGGACATACATGGCTATTACAGAAGGTTCATAATGTGAATATTACATAATATTGGACCCTTAACAACAAGGGAAGGACACAAAAGAGGCTAGCTGTTCAGCTCAAGGACATTACAGGAAAATTGAGTGGAAGCAAAAATACAGTAATGACGGAGCACAAACAGAGGAAAACTGCAGTAGGTCTACGAAGAAAAAGGACTCTACTGTTGTCCAGTGAATAGCAAATTCTGCACTTAATCTGGAAACCAATGTCCCTGAGTTATAGGAAGAAACTAAGGCCCTGACCCACTTAATGACCCACTTAAAGGTATAGTGGAGGATTTTCGCAAATTTTTGAAAAGACCCGCTTTTTGATGAGACCCTCTCCACTTTTAAAAAAGAATGCACATGCACAACCCTGTTCCTGCTCCTGAGAGGGAACGCTTATTAAAAGCGTGCGAGAGCCCATTTCTCTTTCTGCATGCTTGGTTTAAAAGTTGCTTTTTGCATCGCTCATACAAGCTTACTTTCCAAAAGAAGATTTGTAATTTTTCCACTATGTCGGACTCAACACCGGTACGTAGGACAGCCTTACATAAACATATCACCAGAATGATTGGCAATTAAGAGGATCACTTATTTCGATGATCCACCTGGAAAAAGAACATCCTTCACTATACCTTTAAGACTGGATTTTTCTCTGTTAACACATCTATATGAAATCACTTTAATAATGATCTCTGTAGCTACAGGAACCAGGAGAAGCCAAAACCCTTTGAACATTAAACACCACACTACTGCTGTTCTTTGAAACTCTACAACACATCATGATTTCAGTAAATTGGGGAGAAAGTATAACATCTGGGATGTCACTGCTATGCTCAAAAGAGTCAGCAGAAGAAGCAGGCACTCTGCAGTCCACTGCTACTGTTGGTCTTGTGTGGGTTTCAAACTTGCCAGCCTCAGTTATGTTGTAGGCGTGTAGATTAAGCAGTGTCTCCCCATTTGTCCTTTTGAAAATGACTAGGATGTTTTTAAATTTCAGAACCCATTTTGAAATCGAGCCTTAATCAGAGAAAGGCTGAACTCTCATCATGTAGAGAAACAACAGAAACTCAACCAAACTCCACATATTCCGCAAAAAATTAAATAGTTTAAACAGGGCCTTAGTTATCTGAGGTCCAGGGTGAATTTAGGGGATCTGTATCATCATCTAATGTTTGTCCATGGGGCTCTGAATTGATGCCATCATCCATACAAACGGGCTGGATTGAAGTGTGAATATATCTTACCATCTCCAATACGCCTGCATTCTAACAACACCTAAACTAGCTGACCCTCTCACCTCCATCTAGGCTGCGTGACATGTTGTAGCGTTTACTGGAGGTGCGTTCAAACAACGGCGCAGGCCTGGCGATCTGAGCACTGGCCCTTCGTGTCTGAGCCTGGGTCCTGCCGCTGTAGCGAAACTTGGAGCCGAGGCTGAGGAACTTCTTTGGAGGTGCCTCAGGAGACACCAGCCTGTGACAAGTTAAAAACAAGCTCATTATCAAACCAGAAATAAAACACCCATTTAATGCAATGCACTAAATAAACCTATTTAAATGTGTGTCGAGGGAGCCCGCAGGCATGGTTTGCTACACCAGATGACTCAGGAGACCACATTTTAGCTTAAAGCAGCAACTTTGCACGATGAACTATGAGGCTGTGCTTTATAGTGACAAGAAGCAAAGCAAGCAGCGCTGCCTCAGATTTACAGATTTCCATAAATACCCCGGGAATTCATGTAATTTAGCTGAAATTCCATTTAAAACTCCATGGGCCTAATAAAATAATTCACTTCAGGTGATCTTTCCACTTTCCAAGCATAAAGTTCTTTGTATTTTATTGGGTTTTATGTGGTATACCACAGCAAAAAAGTTCATAGAACTCTGATGCACAACTGTACTAAATCTTCTTTACTTTGATCCCTCTAAATAAAAAAAAACAGATGGGAATTGATCTCCTTCAGAAAGACAACCAGCATGCAACTCACTGCCAGTATAGCCAATCTGTGTTTGTCAGTACGTTATATAGTAAATATAAACACATGCCACTTGTTTCAGATTACAATACTGAAAACGATGTAACCTTTCACTTTGTTTATTATTTTAATGTTGCAATGTTTTGAGTTGTTACAACATTCAAGGCTCTCAATTCAAAGAAAATAATTTATTACCTGAAGAAGGTGTGGTGCTCCACGCAGACCTTCCATAGCCGTTTGCTAGCGCGATGATTTGGAAGCTTGAAACCAATCGTGCTTTCAAACTGCTCAAACTGAAACAGAAAAAAAACAAAACCTGAAGTCCCTTTTTTAATTGTTTATTAAAACCCTGAATATAATTCAGGATCACATCTGTGATGTTGCAGCAATTTTCAGATATCCATCACTGTAAAAATGTCCATATCTGTATATTGGTTATTTATTCTCCAGGTGCAGAATATGTTTTTATATTATATATATTACAGTACATTATAAAATTATTTATTTTTTATCTCTTCACTATTATGTTATTTTCATATACTTTTCCGAGGTCCACATTGTGTGTTTTTTCTATATTCTTGTTGCTGTTGTAAATATCAGAATTTCGCCACTGAGGGACAATAAAGGGATTTTCTATGCTATTCTAATTAAAATATACTAGTTATTTTATTTCTCAAACTGTGTCCACACAGCTTAGTGAAAGAACTCCTTTAAGTTCACCTCTAAATTGAACAGTTAATAATTAAAGAGCCAAACAGTGGTAAATCAGTAATAAGCCTAATGTCAGTGTAGCATCAGCCTCTTCATCCTAATTAAAATGCTTCATGTCAAAAATCCCAATTTTTACAACTTATGAATAATAGCTGATGGGAAAAATAATGAATGGATGGAATTTGGCACAAAAACATTTCTACTTGATTGTATTTCCTGCTGATACAATGCAAATTTAAAGGCTGGAGGAACAATCAGGGTTGCCTATCTTCCTTCCGTTGCAGTCTTTACCTCGCCTGGTCGGATTTTGATGTAAAAGTTGTTCCTCTTGTATGAGATCTTGAGGATTTTGGGCCAAGCAAATCTGTTAATCCGCAACCTGTCTCTGTAGATGAGGAGGCCGCTCGAACAAACTCCCAGCATGATCTCCACACCCTCAGAGTCCTGAAAACAACAAAAATACATCAGTTTAGAGAGTAAATCACAGTCGGTCCTTTATGTGGTCCACAGAAAACAACCTTTCATAAACCTTTCAGGAACTGTTAAGGCATCAGTGCACAGCAGGATAAAGTAGAAATGTAAAAGAAAAAGGTTTGTGATGATCACAGGGGTTGAGCAGGCAGGCATGGGGTGGAATCAGGCATGTGGTTCTCTAATCTCCTCTATACACGCTGCAGTGGCGCTGAATAACAACTAGAGGGGTGGCAACTGGCAAATGAAACAGTGAAGTTTTTGGAAAAGTGATGCTCTTCACTGCACAAAGCATAACAAGGCTGGCTGAAACCAGGAGAAAGCGCTGGTCCAGAGTGGGAGCTACCAATCTAGAGTGATAAATGAGATGTGTTTGTACATAGCCATGCACAAGTGGAAAAAAACACTCACTCAGGTAGTTTGAGCACATGAGAAGCGGCCTCTTACCTCTCCCTCAGCTGGAGCCAAGCTTTCATAGAGATTCCCTACCAACTTTGCATTTCATGAGAGAGGAGAGGAGACAAAAGAGGATGCTCTTCTGATATGTACATATTTTCTTGTGTATCAAATCTATGACTAACAGAGGCAGCACTGAGCCCTGATGCCTACTGGGACTGATCAAAGCCACTTCCTCATCTCATTCAGATCCACATCAGGGAGGGCAATATCCTCCCCATTGCTCACATCCAGGTCCCATTTTGACTTTCAAAGCTCTTTTTGATATGCGATTCATATCTTAAAGAGCAATGGTTTCAATTTCCTTTCTATGACAGCCCTTCAGCTCTCTCTCTCTCTCTCTTGCCCGGTGTTATGATGCTGCTTTTGATGTCAAAGGAAGAGAAAACAAAAGTCAAGCTGGGCTCCAGATCTGCTCAGGCAAACTCTTCACTAAGACAGCAATGATACAGTGAAAGTCAATCAGTGCAGAAAGGATGTTAAACATGTTAAACCAAAGAGTCACCATGGCAGCAATGATGTTTGTCATGTTGCCATGGTGTGCTGCCCAGCTAAGCTGAATGAGTGACTGCATGGGTGAAATATGTGTGGGTTTCCATACAGGGGATAGAGTGGTTAGAAACATTATTGGATAGTCTTAAAAGAAACTTTTTTTCTCCCCCTTTTTTTATAGAAATGTTTCTGTCCTGGCTAAACTTATTGTAAATCAATCAATCAATCAATCCATTCATCCAAGTGCATCCTTTGACCCCAAAATAATATTATAAATAAGCAATGCAATGAAATAATCGGATGCATTTTGAAATCAATTAAGAAAAAAAAGAAATGTTGTCATCTAAAAAAAGTTAATTTAATCTGTTAATGGGAGATTTCAATCTTAATAGTGCATTTTATACATTTGTTGTATATTTAATGGTGCATAAAACAAATACATTACATTTAATCACTTGACTGAAAACAGAATGGTTCATTCATACTGGGTTTCTTTGCACTTTCCAGCGAAAGTCCAAGTCTAAAAGGAGAGAGTATTAATTGCAGCAGCTTTTCTGTTGACTGTGTCATTTGAAATGCTGTCCTTGGATATTATAACAACAGCTTGTTTAGACATACGCTACAAAGACAGCAGCTAAATCTGTAGACATTACATTCAATTGATGTTGAAAAAAAAACAAAAGTTGTTTATTTAATTAGTTTACTGAGGCGAGATTTTTTTTCCTGGAAGTTTTCTAGACATTTTTTCAGTTATTAAAACATATAGCATATATACAATTTCTTTTTTTAAGTACCTCACCAGAATGCTCTGCATAAAAATATTGTCAGCAGGAGCAATCTTCAAGTGTCTGCAAGTCAGATGAATGTACGGATGGATTATCATATACTGAATAATATACTTAACTTTCAACCTCATTTTTTAATACACAAGTTTTTGGTTTTTTGTATATTCTGGTTTACAATTGTACCAGTAATTAGTCATTTTTTAAAGATGATGCCCGTTTTAACAGTGATGGCTTCATCCAGGTACAATTAGCTTTGAAAAACTTGAGCAGAATTTTTTTATTTTTCAAATTAGATACTATGCAGATAAAATATTGAGATATTGGTTCTGAGAAAGTATTACAATAGGTTTCATTCTGTTTCAATATTAAAAAAATTCTCATTCTGTTTACCTATAGGATATCACATTTAATGAATTAGTTGGGCTTTATAAAGAAAAAACACACACACACAGAAGTCTATCACATCCATTATGCGTTGGTGGGAAATTAGTAGCTAAACCCATTAGAACACAGACTCAAACATTGGCTCGCTTTAGCTTTACTAATTCTTTTAAATAAGACCAAGTTTTTTCGTCCCTTTAGCAAGTTGGTGTTAAAAATATGAAAAAAACACTATAACCATTCAACTAACAAAGATTTATAATAGATTATTAGATCATGCGTAATAAAAACTTAATCTTAAACCAGTGCTTACAGTCAAGCTGACATCTGTGATTCTCAAGAGCCATAGTTAGAGGTTTGCTAAAAGAAGTTAAAGTTTGGAGTAATTAAGTTATTCCATGTCGGAAACTTGCTAAAGCTAAATGCAGTTTGGCTAAAAGCCCTTTTTATAAATCATACATAATCCAATTTATTACTAAATATTTTTAAAGGCTCAAGGTGTCACAGAAAGTTCTGCGGTCCCACATGCTGTGCATGCATCAGGCAAGCGTGCAAATGTTAACTGTAGGTGTAGGCATCATTCCTTAAACACCACATGGGAATGTTTTTCCATATTATTTCTGTTAATGAATTGGGAATACTCAGTATCAGCATAAAAATGTACAAAACAATAATTTTATATTAAGAATTTTTGTTTTTATAATGACAGGTTTCAGTAAAACCCTGAAAGTACTTGTGGGCTTACAATGAAACTATACATGGTAAAGGCAGCGTCATGCTGCGGGAATTACATTAGTGGGGATAGAGGAGCTAGTAGGGCTAATGGGAAGATGGATGGAGCTAAACAGGACATGCGATAACCTTTAGTCCAATTCCTTATGGTTTATTATCATAAGCATGTGACTTAAATATTTATCTAATATTCATTCAATATCAGCTACTCCATCATGTAATTTAAGCTGCAGCAGTTATGCCTGGTGTTTAAACAGATCGTAGACTTCCAAAGCTAATTTCCCCCACATTTAATGACGGAACAAAAGGTGGGAACAGTGCCCTCCAGTGATCCATGCTCTAAAAATGCATGAAAAGGGTAGATTGCCGTGATCCATGAGGAAGAACGTGTGGATAAATAATGTAAGAGTTATGCTTGTGACAGCAGCAGCACAGCCAGTCAGTCTCGGTGTGATCAGCTGGAGGTATGAGAGCCAGTCATGTAAGGCCACAGTGGACAAAGAAGGGGCAGTTGGCATCGTATCAACTAAAATTAAAGTTTTTGAATTCTGGAGCCCTGCAAGAATAAGTCTGATATTTATTAGATCAGTTCACTGAATTCAACGTCTACTCATAGCAAGTAGCTTGGTAAAAATGTATATTAAAAACATAACATATATAATCTAATAGGCAGACTGGAGCTACTGAAAACATAGAAAAAAACTATATAAGTGCTTAACAAATAACAGTTTTTTATTCTCTATTTACTGGCACAGACATTGGGTTTGTTAGGCACTTAATTAACCAGCTGGCAATCATGCTGCACAAAGGTAAATATAGACGCCATAAAAAAAGGAACCACCACTTTGTCATTACTTGTTACCTTAGCATGATGAAGGTCAACACCATACATAGACAGCTTCTTTGCGTTTTCCAGGAAGTGGATTTCTGCCTCAGCTGGTGTCATTCCCCTGCAGAAAAACATCATACACACTCCAGTCACCAAAAAAAGCAAATAACGAAGAACCATAAAAAGCATTTTTTGGTTTTAAAGTAGAAAACCTATATCTAAATTCAAAATACTACAGGTGTATCTTAAAGAATAATTATTGGAAACTTCATTTCAGGTATTCAAATCTAAATTCCATGTTATATCCATTCCTAAATCTCAGTGATTACCTATAACTGACAGCTACATTTAATTCTGTAGAAGATGTCAATAAAAATGAATAATGCTGCAACATGAAAATTTGAACAACCATTAAATCAAACTGATTAAAATCATTTTTTTAAAGAAATTTTATATTATGGCCCAGATGACCATGGGCACAGCTGAATGAAAACAGATGCTCAAGCGATGGTTCCTCAAAAACCAAAGTCCCAAAACGTTCTGGCCAGTGATGTTGTGAGGGGCGGAGTGGAGCTGTGGCGTGGAGTTAGAGCACATGACCTATATACTAGCTGTCGCAGGTTTGAGCCCCTGCTGACCTTTGCTGAATGTCTCTCCTCTCTCTTCTAACCTCCTTTCCTGTCTAATTTCAAAAATGACAAAATAAAGCCCACAGGAGTCTAAAAATTTTTTTTAAAGAATTCACTGGGGGCTGTACCCAAAATATATTAATAGAAAGTTAAGTGGAAGGAAAAATGTAGAGGAAAAAACATGCAAAGCAAAAGGGCTAACTGTAGTTTTGAGTGGATGAATGCTTCCATTCGATGCCAAATATCTGATTGCATTTACTTTACAATACATATATATATATAACATGTAGGCGATTATTTCTGTAAAATTCTTTTTATGAAACAAACTTTTGAGTGTTCATTAACTACAACTTTATACTCATGACAGACAAAAACAAAACATTTTAAATGATAACCATCTCAGAAATCAATAATCAAGTTTTGCCTTTTCTTTTTTTTTTATAAATGGCCTTTTTGGAGCTAAATATTAGACTCCTGAAGCTAAGAGACAAAATCTAAAGAGGAACTTTGCTCGAGTCTCTACCCTTTACTAATTTAATTTGGTATGAATTAATGTATATAAGCTCCATATGGCATTGAAAGCTATGCCACAAAGATTATTATTATGATGGTTTATAAATTCATCCAGCGATCCAATTTCTACTGTTAATTCAAAGTTAGGTTGTGGTGGAAGAGTCCAGGAAGGAAACCTTGACATCCTTTTCACCTGGCAACATCCTCCAGCTCATTCTTGGAGACTCCAAGGCATTCCCAGGCTAGATGGGATATATATTCTCTCTAGTAAGTTCTAAGCCTTGCCCAGGGTTTCTTCTGCATCGGACATGACTTTAAAACTTCCAAAATGAGGCACCCAGGCGGCATTAAAATCTCTTTTCAATGTATTGAGTTTTGGTGCTTAACAGTAACTATTCTCTTTAAGGCATAACAGAACAATCCAGTCCAGCGCTCAGCTGGGCGGCTGCGAGTTGACCAAAAAATACAGACACTAACTTATAGGTCTTGTGGAGTTCCATGACTTTCTCCTCCAGCTCTTTGGTCTGGTTGGGTGCGAAGCGGATTTCACTGACATAATCGCTGCCCATCTCCTCTAGGTCATAGTCTCCGAGTTCAGACTGTACCGTGTAGGAACCCAGCAGGGTGTGGGTGGCGAAGGAACAAGGCAGGCGACCCGAAACAACGTCATCCCTCAGCTGCAAGCAAAGGTAGTACCTGGAAGCAGGAGAAAATAAAGAAAAAATTTTTTTAGGTAAATAATCCAGTCAAGATTTTTATGCCGACATTCTCAGTTCTAGCGCCGTTTTCTGCTTTGAAGCAAAGTTGCTTCGGTTTAAGTCAGGATCCAGAACAGTTTTAAACTAAACGGCACCACGGATTGTGGTGTGCACAAGCATTTCCTTCTGTTTTGAATCAAAACAGTTCAACTTCTAAGTAAATAGTCATTTTAAAGATTATAAATAATGAAAATTTTTTAATCAACAGCGGACTCGCCTTGTTATGTCTTCGCTCAGTTGCGAGGGATCTGGAGGGTAAAACTTGACGTTGAATGCGAAGTTCCAGGGACCAGCTGAGACGCAGAAAGAAGAACAGATAAATTTAGGATTTAGCCGTTTAGCATTAAATGGTAAGTAACTAGGATTTATGACATACTCCTGATCTGCTTCTTAAGCTCTTTGGATGGGTCCAACCAATTCTGCAAAACCATAGAAGAGAGAATTAGTCATGACCAAATAGAAATAAAGCTGACTTTAAAAGTTGAATGTAGAAAAAGTTAATAGGGGCTGTAATTTCATATGGGAAAAACATTTACACATTACCAATAGCAAATCTAAAACAGACATTTTCTTTAGAATTACCTTCTGATTCTCTACATCTCTGTATGTGACGCCAAAATAGTCCTTCTCCAGCAGGTTGAGGTGCTCACACACTTTATCAAATAGCACATGGCCCTTGGCTCGTTTCTGAGAAGAAAACCAAAATAAATGTTTAAAAGTTTTTAGTATAAGTAATTATCCATCTATACATTTTAACATAAAAGGTAGGCACTGTTATGTAATAGATGTGTGGGTTTGTTTGCCCTTTACTTTTTCCCCCTCCCTATCGGAGACACAGACTTAATCCCATAAGTTAATGTGACTTCCAAGACAAAGAGCGAAAGGACAAAATGTGGGAGGTTAATTAAAATAAATAAATAAATGTAAATAGAGGCTGTATTCTAATACAGAATGTAATTATAGAGAATACAATGTGGTTCTTATAAAGTTTTGGCAAATATCAGAAGGTTTTATAGGTAATTCATAGCCTCATGCTTGTTTTTATTAGTGAATACAGAAGATAACCATTGTTAATGAGAGCTGAGGCTTAGGATTTGAGTCTAACATGAGCCTCAAGTGTTAAGAATGTGAGTTTTGGTTAAATCTAAGGTTTTTGTTTTTAGGAAAAAATTGCAATTGGAGCCCAACTTTAAAAAAGAAGTCACATTCTCTGTAGTCACCTCACAGAGCAATGATCCGCTCCAATGAAATGGAATATTGGAGCAGCAGGAACATGAAGGAAACTGGTAAACATACAAAGAAACTGTCCAAATGGATGGGAAAGATCAAAATGGAAATATAAAGACGCATTTGTATGTGCATCCACATGTAGACAGAATACAAAGTAAAATAAGATTACTTATGAGTGTGAAGAGAACTAACTCCACTGATGACTTCTCGCTAACAATGACTTTAACTTCCAAAATTAAGCCCTTAAAGCTGGCTTTTCAGATATAGAAAACAAAAACAAGGGAGTGATGAACAAAACGTCTCGGATCAGTCAACAAGCCATCAAAAAGATAAAGACAGAGAACCCAGAGTAAACAAGCAGCCGACTGTCTGGATGATTTCGCCGAGGGAAAACAAAAGTAAGCTTGAAGGTAAACTGACCTCAAATCAGATGAGGAATATTGATCGTGATCAATTGTGTCTAAACATAGAAAGTAAACAAGAGCAACTGGGACAGAGTCTGAAAGCTCACACTGATCTTGTAGGGAGAATGAAACAGTCAACCCCTTCAGAAAATGTACTTTTCATGACTGGTTTCATCTCAATAAACCTTTAGGTCATTGGACAAACAAGGTTTCAGCAACTTCACGCTCTTTTTTACCCATCAACACAAACTACCCATTTAGGACAAGAAGGTACATCAGAATGTAAAAATTCAATACCAAGATCTAAATAGCCTTTGAGATGTGGAGGATTTAAATGTACTCCTTTAAAATCCAATCGTCTGAGAAGTGCAGCTGGGGGAGCTTCAGCAGCTCCATGTCGAGGAAAATGATAGGAAACGATTAGCCTGCTCTGCTTCCCACAGGGACGGATTGAGCTGAACTGGAAAACTGTGTGTCATGCCTTGACATCTTGGAGCAGTTTCAGATGGAGATGGAGGTTTGGGAGGAGGAGGCCTCTCTGGCAATTATAGGAGTTTTCTGACCTTTGCTGTAACACTGAATGATACAGGATGAGATGATCTGCCTCAGCTCTGCTGAGGTTCTACTGAGCTGGGAGAGGACACAGTGGAAAAATATGTTTTTGCAAACAACTTAAAATACTTATATTGTATTAGCTTTCACTTTTCTCCTGCCAAGTCTTGACTTGGGGTGTTTTCTTCCTTTCCTCTCTGCAGACTTAGACTAAACATGCATTGGGTCATAGACAGCTGTTTAAATCTGGGCTCCTTAGCTTTCTTAGTTGCATATTTTAAGTCCCTATCACTATGTCCCCACAGCATGTCTCTGATGTTCAATCCATATTTTGTGCAGAAATCATTTTTTTTTTTTTTTTTGCAAGATGGTTCAAACTAACATTTTTATGTGACCGCCATCAAATGTAGTCTGAACGTCCCCGAAGTGTCCTGCTTGTGAAGAAGGAGAATGCAGACATCATACAGCAGCACGCTGTGTACAGAATGAATACCCGCATCTCTGTATCATTATGTTGTTGAGACATAGAAGGCGACGAGATCATGACCAGATATTGAGATCACAGAAAATTAAAAAAGACAGAGCAGAACTATTGACTACCGCGTTTTGTGAAGCAGTGATGCCTACTGCTGTAAGTCTGTGTGGATGTTTATCTGGAGCCAGGGCAACGATGGACAAGCTGAACAAAATGCAATATGATGATACAGACAGTGGATGCTATGAAAACTATTTGATACATAAGCTAGTATAGTACCACATATGGAAATGGCACAATTCTGATTTTTTTTCTGATTTATTGAGGGGTGGTTAAAAAAGAATGGAATTAGGTCCTTCAGGCTTCTATAAGGAATTCCACCCTAAACATTTCTTTAACGATCATTGTAATTTTGTTTTATTGTATAAAACACATAAATGATGGTTGCTCTTCCTCTGGGTTGTTCTCTCTGTGCCTTGGTGTGCTGTGAATTAAATAAGGGAGGAGATCTTGACCAAAAAGATCTGAATGTATAATAAATTCTCAATGGACAGGAGTTATTTTGTGATCTTTAGTCACTTAAACCAACATGCAGAGGTATTTAAGCTCAGAGGTCTACAGATAATTTCTTAGAGTTAAATACTGGTTTCTGATCTAATATCTTTACACTAAATTATCTGGCTTACAGCCAATATTTGCAGGATAAATATACAGCTGTTTTTATAAAAAATGAAGGATATTTAAAATCTGCTGAAAAAGACACATTTTTAATTTTCTCTTTGTTGCTATCTAAAATAAAATACTCTTATCGTCTTTATGAGAATCAGCAAATCAGATCTACCTTAAATACACTGCAAAACCACCTAATGCAAATTATTACAAAGATCTGAAACACAGATTCTATTTGAAGATTGAAAATTGAATAATAAACAATGCTTCCTGTATGCTGTGTTGGGAGTCTGCAACAAGTGCTCCTGAACTGAGCTCCTCAGCGCCACAATAAGAACAGTCAGCTAGCCCTGGCATCCTGACCCCTGCTGAGGAGGAATCTGCTTAATAAAAAGATTTGCAAAGGGGTTTTTGTGCTCCAGTACCGCCTGGACACATCTGAGAAATCTTTGAAAGAGCTCATAGGAAACCAACTTTAATAAAATGTCAAACAAAACTTCTATTAATTATTGATATAAAGAACAATTTTAAAGTATTTTTGTCTTAAGCCATGATTGAATCAAATTACATCTTTTAGTGCTCATTTTGTGGCATTTAAAACTTCTTATTTGGGAATGAGAAGATTATTTTTTTTATAAGATTCTCTTTAGAAGAGCATCTTTGATTTTCTGAACCTCCACTAAGATAAAAAAAAAAACACAGACTGCAGGAATTGTTTTATTATTGAATTGTCCTTAAATATAAAACTTCTAAAAAAAATAATAATAAATGTGTTGAAAAACAGGCTTATCTATAAAGATATTCAATTTCTAACAAATTTTTGGCAGTTAAGATTTAAAATGCTGTTTTAAATCCTTATTTATAGTTTTTGCATTTGCACAAAGGGTCCTAACTAAATTAACATCTCTGTTGGATAATGTCTTCCACCCCATACATGAAGCTGTTGCAGAACTGGAGAGCTCCTTCAGGGACAGACTGCTGCACCCTAAATGCACCAGGGAGCGTTTTCACAGATCCTTCCTCCCAGCAGCTGTAAGACTCTATAACCATCACTGTTCCCAACAACCTCAATAAGTTGTTACATTCATGCGGATTTTGTAGTTATTCTCCAGGTGCATATTGTTAAAAAACTTTACAGTACAGTATTTCATTTGTTTATTTCTCAACTCTTCACTATTACGTTATTCTTATACATTTTTACTAAGTTCCATATTTGTGTGACCATTTTTTTCTATTATCTTTTTGCTGCTGTAAACACCAACATTTCCCCATTTTGGGACAATAAAGGAATTTTCTATTCTATTCTATTCCATTTAGACAAACAGCCTTAAGTCTTTTATTGTGATAGCACTTTACAAACCAGGGTATAAATGAACTCATATAAATGGTAAAATTGTTTTAATATACTTATCGGCATTTATTTTCAGTATTAAATCACTGGAAATCTCTAAATGATAAGCTTATAACTTACAGACTGCAAGAGGGATAAAAGGCTATCCTTACCTGCTCTTGACTGAAATTAAATTCAACATGGCACCAAAGAGCAGAAAAAAAAAAATACTATGAATGTACATATTTCTGCATGGTACAGTAAATACAGAGCAGATATCCCGCACTTCATCAATAAAGCTAAATCAATGGAATAAATTCCCTATTTTCATTATTATTAGTGATCTGAAGGAGTTGAGCTAGAGATTTATTTACCAACCCGAGGAAAAATGAGAAAAAAACCGGATCATTTTAAAACCTTATGCAGCGATAAACCTGGTTCAAACGTTAGACCTCCGACAGCTGCTACGACCTACCTCTACGTTGACGGTGTAATCAGTGCCGTCCAGCAGAGTGATCTTACACTGCATCATCTTCACCTTCTTCACGCCCCTCAAAGGAGACTTGGACAGGCGACTGGTGGATGACCTGTGGGACTCCTGATCCTCCTCCTGCTCCTGACATGAAAAAGAAAAGAAAATATAAACTGTTTATTTGAATGTACTGATTGTTCCTCTCCTGGCCCAATGCTTCTGCATTTAGCTATGTCACCTTCCTGCAAAGCAGTCTTTGGGGGAGCTTTTGCTGCCAATAACTGTTTGCTCTTAGTGTTTCTTTCCCATAAAGTGTCCTGCAGCTACAGAGCTATGGTGTTTCTCCTTCATGTTCTCTCCCTCTGTTGTATCATCCAGGCAGATTCAGCAGATGGTTGGTGGAGGTCTCTTCTTCTTCCTCCAATTCAGCCATTCCTTTCTAGTACTTCCAGATTACTCTGCATTAAACTGACTATACTGTACTACAACTTCCTCTTATATCCTTAAGCTGCGAGATAAATTATAGCAATCGGATTGAAACAGTTATGAGACCACAGAAAAACTCAACTGATATAATTTCATAATTTTAATGTCCCAGACCGGTCGGCATGTGACTTATTTGTGAGAACTAATTACCATCCGTGTCACATTCCTGAGCTCATAAGTAATAACTGGGACCACGTCTGAATTTAATGAGGTCCCACAGAGAAGATCTTCAGATGTACTGCCATTTTTTTCCATCTTAAAAATAGAAAATCCACTTTTCCACTTGACTGAAAACAAAGCCCCTCTTGACTGAATCTATCCTTAAAAAACATGCCTCAGAGATAATTCTCTCTTTGCTTGAAATCACACTTTCCTTTCTCCCTTCACCCCTCAGGTTATATCAACCATATTGCTCTGAGTATTCAGTAAAACTCAGGTGGAGTCACTGTCTTCCCTGAGTCACACAGAAGCAGCCCACAGACAGAGGCAAATCACTCTGAGATGGCAAAAAAGTAAAAATAAGGTTTTTTTATTAGAATATATGAAAGTTTCAGAGTAATACCTAAGGGGACATTTTACTTGTGTACAGTTGCTTCCATGATAAATGAGAACAGGTGCTTCATATGTATGAAGACGCAGCAGGAAAACAGTTAGTGAAGCTAATTTCTGGGGCATATGTGACCTCAGCTGGAGCGACATTGGGAGAAGCAGACAGCGTGGTGTCAGGGTGCTGGGATCTTCATCGTGCCTGTGTCTGCCAGTTTACACAACAACAGCCGAGCATCATCCATCAGTGGCTTTTTAATGCAGCCCTTAGGATTGCAGATCAAACTAGTCTAAACCAGATTAATGAAGAGAAGGAAGCTACAAGAGAGAGGAAGTAAAACTAGTTCATTTTTTTCTCTGTTAAATATTTATGGAAAAAAAATGTAGCGCTAAGCTGACTTTGACAAACAGCATTCCTTTTAAATTGAAGACCTTTATGGAAAAAATTCAACTTATATAAGTACAACCATATTATTTAAAGAAAACAACCATTTTGCCACTCCTAAATACAATTTTTAGCATCTCTCACCCAAAGATATTTAGTGGTGGGAAACAGAATGACTGATGTATCTATAACTTTAGCTCCTTTAATAATCATTCAAAGGTCTCCAGCTTTGAAGGCATCAGTTTAAGATCCTATATGAAATTTACAGAAGAGCTCATTTTTGAAAGTTAAACTGTCACAGGATAACAGCCGTACAGAAAGGGTTTAGGGATCAAACTAAGCAAAAAGAAAGAAGACAGTTTCTGCAATTATTTTCTGAAGATTGTGATCAAATCCAAATGGTCATAGCGATTTTGAGCAAAAGGTCTACTTTCCAAATGGCTACTTCAGTGGCTCCCCGTTTGTGGGAAGAACACTTCTACGAACAGGGAGTAGCTGTGCCAATCTGCAGGAATCTTGGTTTTAAATAAATAGCATTTATATCCACATGTTGAAAGGTTGTACAATCTGTCAAAGACAATCCACACATGGAGCAGGAACTTAAGGGTAAGTTGCTTCCATTTGACTGAAGGGCTACAACAAAAGAGGAGGACACTGAAATCATGCTGTCACCTTCATTTCCATTTTCTACACAAAGAGCCGATTCATTCAGGAAGAGAATAAATGCTGTGAAATGTTTCCTTTCATTTAAATGAGTTAAAGTTATGCAGAGTAGGAAAATGTTAAATGATATATTATTCACTAATTGAAAGAAGAAAAAAACAAAACAACTGAATAATATTTATGTTTCTTGTCTTTGTTTTCAATCTTAGATATAACACACAGAGCCTGACCTGGTCTTTCCTGGTCGGGGTGCTGTGTCCCACTGCTGCTGGGAGCTGCTCCGGCTGTTTCTGGGGCGAGGCAGGGTCAGCCGCTGCTTTAGTTTTCCCCTTCTCTGCCTCCTTATTCGCTTGCGGCTGTTTGGCCTCAGAGTCTGCGCCTGATTCGGTTGTCATTGTAAATCACACTGCAGGGGAAAGGAAAGCAGGGTACAGGAGAAAAGTCTGAGTCAGTCCACTTTTTTAAACTTTTAACATGCAGAAAAAAAAAAAAAGATTAATGAAATGAAATTGAAGGAAATTATAATGTTCCATTCTAAAGGCCTGTGTGTAAGTCCACTCTGATACAAATACTGGGAAGTTGAATTCTTAAGGCAAACTAGAGAAACTCTTGAAGAGTTTATGGTAAATCCTGTAATTTGGTCTTTAAAACATAGCTTAAAAATACAGGTTTTCTTTCTTAAAGCTTTGATCTTTAAAGTTTATTGACTCCGCCAAGAAAGTTATGTGTTTAGGAGAGTTTTTGTGTGTGTCTGTCCGAGTATAGGATAATCTGAAAAGTTATCTGGGAATTTAATCCTATTTTTATTTTTATCTATTTTTATCTCTATCATGCAAAGGAACAATCCATTTAATTTGGGATAAGATTCAGATCATAATCTAGATACAGAATTGTTCAAAGATTCTCCAACATTGTGAGATAGGGATATCCGACCCACTGAACCATAGGGTGGCAGCAGTACGGTAAGTATTTACACTCTCAGCACGGAGGTATTTAACTCAAGACAAAAACACAAGAAAAGGGAATATTGATAGTTTGTTAGCAGGATTAATTGAAAACTTAGGAACAGGCTTTATGGACATCTTTTTTTACCAGAGGTGTGCCTCATACTAACAATCAATTTAAATGTGGTGATGATCCAGATTGCATGCAAGGTTTAGCTATAGGTGTTAGCCACAATTTGGGAAAAGTACTTTTCCCAAATTGTGAAAATTAAGTTAGAATGCTACAATTAGCATGTTGCCATCAATAGCAAACATTGTCCATTTTTACACATTTAATCATAGAGGGTTTTAACCCTCTATGATTAACAACTTAAAGGAGAAGTTCGGTTTTTTACACTTTAAGCCCATTTTCTGTAGTGTCCAGAATGAAATCGAATGATCGACACCAAAAGTTTGACAATTGCTCCTGTCTCTGCTTTTTGGCTCATTTAGAATCAACCCCTGGCTGCTTCATAATGGCTGCCATAGTGCATGTCCGATAATGTCCTTAAAACAACCTTAAACGTTCTTTTTTTAAAATATGCTACTCACCGGGTCGTCAGCGCTGTTCAATGACGTTCCAAAAAAAGTTTCGTGAAGAAAAAACGTTCCTGTAGTGTTTTATTTAGCATTTTGTAAATCCCATTGAGTTCTGTAGGAATAGTCAATATTCCGCTGCCACCGGAAACCGAAATTGGGCCTGTTTACACTTAGTTGTAGTCTTTTCGCTTCACTCTGTGTACTCCGACGTCGAGGTGCTAACGTCTCTGTTAAACACTTTAAAAAACTCTGAAAATGGAATACGAAAGGTGGATTCTTGATTCTCGACGTCGGAGTACACAGAGTGAAGCGAAAAGACTACAACTGTGTAAACAGGCCCCATTTCCGTTTCCGGTGGCAGGGGAATATTGACTATTCCAACAGAACTCAATGGGATTTACAAAATGCTAAATAAAACACTACAGGAACGTTTTTTCTTCACGAAACTTTTTTTGGAACGTCATTGAACAGCGCTGACGACCCGGTGAGTAGCATATTTTAAAAAAAGAACGTTTAAGGTTGTTTTAAGGACATTATCGGACATGCACTATGGCAGCCATTATGAAGCAGCCAGGGGTTGATTCTAAATGAGCCAAAAAGCAGAGACAGGAGCAATTGTCAAACTTTTGGTGTCGATCATTCGATTTCATTCTGGACACTACAGAAAATGGGCTTAAAGTGTAAAAAACCGAACTTCTCCTTTAAAAGCTATAGCAGTAACCGTGTTGGAGGCAACGTGTTAAAGAAGTAACACATTACCATCATATGTTACGGTCAGGCAGTAACAGTGTAATATATGTTTAACAACGTTTTCCAAGTGGCTAATTTGCACTAACTAATGTTAATATAAATGTTGAAATAGTATAAACCACGGTCAAGTTTAATTTAATGGAAATGTGAATTTTTTGTGAAGCCTTGTGTGGATCCTTTTTTTCAGGAGCTAATAAATGAGGCATAGCTTGTATCATGCCCTGTGATGGTTTTTTGTTTAATTATTCTATATCATTACAGTTTTGTGATTCAGCTTTTCATGACAAAAATTATTGTGCACCTTGTTTTCATCATGCCTTGTTCTAAATGTCTTTACAAATATGGCAATATTGGGAAGAACTGTTTTACTTTCCAACAAAGATAACTTGTAATATGAAATATATTACATTTGGAAATAACTAGTAACACTAATTGCTATGCTTAATACAACACAGATGATAATATCAGCTATTATAAGTAGTTAAAGATAAGATGCATCTTTGGCTTATTAATGACGTCATTATTTCAAATCTGAAAAGACAAATAAACACATGAAAGCTTTATGGATGCGAGTCCTGCCTCTGTTTTTCGGCAGAATTTTAGCCCACAGGAATCCAAAGCATTTAAGCAGCAGTGCGTCTCGTCTTTCGTAGTTTAACCTTTTTTCTTCTTTTTTTTTTTCAGCCACCAGAAACACAACAGGCACGAGGGCCTCAGACTGGGTGAAGAAAAAAAATAATGACTGGTTTTCAAGAAGAGTAGACAGATCCCAGTTAGCTACTGAGCAGAGGGAGGGGTGTGTTTTTGTATGGATGTGTGTTGCTTCCCAATCCGTCTGAGATGTGGTTGGTAGTACAAATGCCTGTCATTCTGCAGCTGGCCTGTTTCTGCCTCAGCTCTATTTATAGGGACGTGTTTTTAGCGTCGGGGTGGGAGGATCTCTGACTTCAAGCAGTCAACAACAATTTGATGTGAGGTGATCCCAGAAAATGTCGACATGCTGACTAAAAAAAGAAAAGGAATTGCTGCATCTCTGAGTGGGGCTTTGCATTAACAGGTGCATTGAAGTGTCAAATGATAGACAACCACATCACATCATTTTAAACAGCTTCAAACTATTATATCATTATGCTGCATATGTTTTGCTCCATCTAAATTATTAGATGTTCCTAGATAAGGGATTATTTTTAAAGCCCAAAACAAAACAGATCTTCCCTAATGAGCTACTTGCTTGAATCCCACTGAAATTAATTAAAACAAAGATTACAAATAGTCTGGAATCAAGAAGCAAAAACAACTTGAGTGCAGGAAGCTAATAAATGCTGACTCAGAGCAGCAAACACAACTGGAGTCTGGAGTGAAGTCAGTAGCACAAGTTTTAAAGTCCAAGGTTCAGAGAAAGCAACATGCTGATCCGGCTCTTTTCAAGCTCTGATGCTATAAAAAACGGACAAAGATTACTGAATCCAGACTCCAAGCGCGTCTCAAATCAATGTGAATAAATCAATGAGCCAAAAAACCCACATTCCAAACCTGACTTTCAAAAAACACTAAACAAAAACCTGTTTTCCAATAGAGACCTGAGGCCAGCACTGAGCTGAACTCATGAACAATCTGCAGCCATAACCTCTGCTGTGTCTTTGTCGTGTGATGTGGGGCGGACTTAGGAACCAGCTGACAGAGGATGGCTGCACAGGCGACCTTTGCATCCATTAACCCCAAGAAACAGGAACTATGGAGGGAGGGGGGTAGAGGAGAGGAGCATCTTAGCACCATAGAAATTGAGCAAGAATACGCTCGGTCACTGACAGGCACTCTTCACAGAGCCACACAACAGCTCCAACACTAGTCCTGTGTGTTGCTCCTCACCATGGCACTGGCACATACATTGTACATTCAAGAACTGCATTCACTTATTATTTAAAGTCTTAGATTACAGACGATTGTGAGCATACAGCTGTGTTTAAGATTAAATACAGACAAAGGTGTAAGTCTAATGAATGCTTGAAAAGAAGTATAACATTGAAATGTACTGAATATTTTTTCAGGTCTGCATCCATCTCTAGAGACATAAGAATTAATGCTCAGTGAAACACCAACTTAGATATAGAACCATTTTCTTTGGGATAAAGAGACTACTTGTAAAAGAAGAAACAGCATTTTCATTAAGGTTTCACTTTCTTGCTTTGAATCTGTCCCATTTTTCAGCATTAAAGCTTTTTATCCAGGTTTGTGTAAATTTGTTTCTGTGCATCGACCATGTCTGCATGTGTTTAGCTTTTTGTTTAATACCTATCTGACTGGTCTACCTTTATTAGCCAGTTTTGGCCAGCCTCACAATTAATGAGTGTCTGGTTGACTAAATGACTGTAAGGTATCTCAGTCCAGTGGGTTGATCTCATTCCTCCACCTCCATGCTAAACATATTACAGCAGCAGATCACGCTAATGTTATATTAAAGATACGATGGACGATTTTTCCAGAAACGCAAGTAAAAAATGCTAAAATAACCATCTTACATGCCCTTCCACTCAGGTTGAACACTGACAAGTGTGTTTATAGTCTGTCCAAATCACTTGAAGGATGCATAAATACTAGAACTGTGCATGCATGTGCACACAATTGCTTTAGGTGAGTCATGACAAAAAGACTGACGAGGGAGAAGAAATAGAAAAGATGAATCCCTTGGAACTTGAAGCTGAAACATAATTTCATGCCTTTAGGGCTTCAGCTATTTATAGAGTAAATGGCACAAATTTGGGGGGGGCAATAACTTGTATATAGTGCATAAATCCCATCTACATTGCTGTAGCGTTAGCTTAGCATGCAGTGTCAATGCATTGACACATTCTGAGAAAACTGCTTGGTCTAATGTAGGGGTGTAAATAATAATCGTTTTGTATCGATGCATCGATCCAAAAGCCGACGATCCGATGCATCGACACGTCCGCAAGATAATCGATTCGTGTTTTTTTTTCCTCCGGTCTATTTTTATCCATTTGCTCCTGGGCGTAATTCTCCTCCCGTGCTGCGGTGCCGCTAAACCTATTTTGCCCTCCTACCGCGCTTCCTGGTTATACTCTTACAGCAGTGTGTTGCAGTAAGCTTCACACAGACATTTTTAAATTATGCT